CAGTGAAATTTGATCTCACTCCAAATAACATTGATTCCTTTCTTCCAGTCCCAGGATAAGTCTACTGGTGGGCTGAACCCAGAGCCATGTCCCATCTGTGCCCGGCCCCTGGGACAGGAGGTGAGCATGGTTTAGTTGTAAGGAAGAACTTGCTGACAGAAGATTGTAAATGTCTCACAGAATCTATTTGTATCCGTGTTTTATGCAAGCAAACTTTACAATCTGTCTCATCAACACTGGCCAGGAACTGTAATTACATCTCGCCTGAAGCTGATTCATCTTGCACGAGCAACCAGATGCATAAACTGCGTGTAGATGCACAACCTGTGTGTACATACAAAGACAGAAATATGTACATGCTTTCTTTTTTATCAGCTTTAAAAAGCCGTACATACTCCTCGTTGTGTTTTACAAATTTGTCATTGTGGAGCTGGGCACACGTGCACAATCCTCATTTCCACTCCCACAGTTAATCATAAATTAATATAGAAACGCACTTAAGCATCATCTCAGAGCAGTATCTAGGGTTGTCAACAGAGCACATGAGAAAGTCTGTGTCTGTTTCCTTCAAAATGACTGACCTCAGCTGATGATAGGTGCCACCATCAATCCTCCAGGACCTTTGGGATGGTTACAGTTAAGTAATTTCGCTCTGTCTTTTCCAGTGGGCAGTGCTGACCTGTGGACACTGCTTCTGCAACGAGTGCATTGCTATCATTGTGGAGCAGTACAGCGTGGGCTCGAGGCGACGGGCCATCAAATGTGCCATCTGTAGGCAGACCACATCACACACAGAAATATCCTACGTGTTTACCACCCAGTCGTCCAGTCAGGACCAGGACATACCGGTTAAGGTCAGTCAGCAACACCGTGATTTTTATAGTCAGTTATGGCTGGATCCAGATGTGTTGTTTTTTTATTTGGTTCCACCTGGTTTAATTGTCCAAAAGTTGACGGATGTATTTGTAGTGGCACTTATTAGGGGATTATACTTTGATTCATGCCTTGTAATGTGTATAATTGTAATTTAACACAGCTTTCTTCGACACTATACCTTTATTTTCCTCCCTCTGTGTTTGTCAGGGAAGCCACTCTACCAAAGTGGAGGCAGTAGTGAGAACGCTGAAGAAGATTCAAGTGACCGACCCGGGGGCCAAGTGTCTCGTCTTCTCCACGGTAACTGTAAACTATCCCTGCTCTGTGTGATAGTGATTTATTTTGCCCATATCGTGTTTGGATCTGACCCAGTTGGTTTCTTTTTCTCTCCCCTGCACAGTGGCTGAGTGTCCTGGACATCATTGCTAAGGCCTTGTTTGACAACAACATGGAGTTCTCTCAAATCAACGGGATTCACAAATTCCAGGTTTGAATTTTTGCTGTAAACATTTCTAAATATGCTTTACGCACTTCACCACACAATTGCCTTTCCCACACTGTGCAACACATCTATTACACCTACTAACTTCCACACATTTTGAACTCAAAGAAAACAAGCACAAGCCAGAAATCAGTTGACTCAGGTGTGATTGTAACGAGCGCACTGACCTTAATTTTTCAGGAGAATCTGTGCTCCTTCAAATACGAAGAAAAGATCAACATCCTTCTCCTTCCTCTCCACACCGGCTCCAATGGTCTGAACATCATCGAAGCGACTCACGTGTTACTGGTGGAGCCAATCCTCAACCCAGCTCACGAGCTCCAGGCCATCGGCAGAGTGCACCGGATTGGACAAACCAAGTAAGAAGCAGGGAGTTGAGTCTGTCAGTGGACAAAATAATTTATAAAAAGTAACAGTTTAGTTTACCCAAAATATAGACGTGTTGATGTTCTGATTGGTATGATTTTAAATCTGCACCACCTGCATGAGATGAGCGTTATAGCTGTGGCTTTTTTTAATCATAGCTGTTTGTATATATGTGTGAAGTTTGGAGGTTTATGACCGCAGTCGTGGCTGTTATCTGTACTATATTTATCAATATAGATTGTTTTAGTTGCTGAGTGTTGAACATATCAGCTGTAGAGACGTTTGTCTTCTCTCAATATAATGGAACTAGAGGCACTCAACTTGTGGTGCTCAAAGTGCCAAAAAGTACACTTGAAAAACTCAACAGCAATGTCTCTTTCCAGAAATCATGACCTGGTTACTCAAGATAATCCACAGACCTTGTTGTGAGCAGTTTCATGCAAGAACTATTTTCTTTCTACCGAACTACACCCACCAACCATATCACTGTGCAGAAGGAATTGTGCATCTACTCATGGACGAGAGGCTCATGACAGCATGAGATGTGAACATTAATGGTGTCTAGGCCTGTCACGATATGCGATAAGTCGGTTAACTGCACGGTAAACTAAAAGGGAGACGGTAACTTTTCCGGCCGCGATTAATTGCCATATTCATGCGTGTTTGTTTTCCTCGTCTCTCTCTCCACCAAAGAGGCTGGACGACAAGAGCGTTCACTGCCATGCATCATCTGGCAGCCAGGTGAGTTGGTTCATTAGCGTAATGAATGTAGGGAAAGCTCTTGTCATCGAGTGTCTTTGTCTCTGTGGGGGAGGCAGGGCTATGGGCTACACACACACACACACACACACACACACACACACAGTGCGATCTTCGTGAGGGGGAGACGAGGCGGAGAAAAAAAAAGAGAGTTGAGCGTAAGAGAAAGACAGGGAACTTGTTCCTAAATCAAATGCCACAGCCCCTGTGTGAGAGTGTTTTGGATTTAAACCAAATGACAGAGGGGAGCCCAGTAATTTGGACGAGCTGGTATGCCGGTCTTTATTTATTTGTTTCAGATATTTAAATTTTCTTTTTTTTTTTGCATTCCTAAATATTCCTGTTAAATTAATGTTTTTTTCTCTTTAAAAGGGTGTACTTGCATCAATATGCTTTTATTATCATTATATAAGTTTAAAAAATGGTCTAAAAACAGCAAAATTACAACAATAATAAAAATGGTCTTAAAAGCACAATATTACGCAATATTATCGCTTATCGCAATAATTTCTGACGCAATTATTCACCCAGCAAAATTTGTTTTCGTGACAGGCCTAATGGTGTCCTCCTCTGTTGATCTGTAACCAAGATTATAGTTAACTAAAACTAAACTTAAAATTAAAACTTGATTTGAAAGAACATTTTAGGTAACTAAAATAAAAACAAAAAAGAAATGAAAACTAAAACAATATTGTGTACTTCCACAACTAACTAAAATAAAGTTTTAGTCTTCTTCAATTTGGTCAAATCTGCACGAAGATGTCTACATGAAAATGTTGTGTTTATATTGTAATACCTATAATGAAATTTTAAAATCTTGTCCCTGACAAATATCCCCAAAAAACACCTAAAACTAATAAAAACTAAACTAAACTAAAAAAAATTATACTAAAACTTGAGCATAAACAATAAAAACTCAACTGAAACAAGCTCTCTGCTCTCTGAAAACTAACTGAAGCTAAACTAAATTGAAAACAAAATAAAAATAATAACTAATGAAAAATACAGAACTCATAATGCTGGCTGCAACCTAGCTGATGAGCTAGCAGTAGATGCACACTTCCTTCTGCGCGGTGTACGTTAGTTTTTATTTCAGTTACCTAAAATATTTTTTCATCTAGTTTTAGTTTTTAGTTGAGTTTTAGTCAATTATAATCTTGGTTACAGCTCAACGGAGGAGGACGGCATTAACGTTTACATCTCACACTCCTCGTCCATGAGTAGATGCACGCTTCCTTCTGCGCAGTGATGCCGTTGGCGGGTGTATTTTGGTAGAAAGAAAATAGTTCCTACATGAAACTACTCACATCAAGGTCTGTGGATTATATTAAGTAACCAGGTCATGATTTCTGGAAAGAGACATTGCTGTTGAGTTTTTAAAAATGTATTTTTGGCATTTTGAGCACCACAAGCTGAGTGCCATCCAGTTCCATTATATTGGAGAGAACGCAGACATCTCTACAGCTGATATCTCCAACACTTGGCAATTCACACCAAAACAATCTAGACTGATAAATAGCACTACAGGTAAGAGGAAAAATATGTATTTTTAATTTGGGCGTGAACGTTCCCTTTAATATTACCCTTAATGACATGTGCCTCAACTGTTTTATACATTGTGTGTGATTTCAGTTGTTCTCTCTGTCCATCAGGCCGACATTTGTTCACAGATTCCTTATTAAATCCACCATTGAAGAGAGAATGCAGGCGATGATGAAGACAGCAGAGAAAAGGTAAAAGAACAGAATATAGTAAATTATACTCTTGACATTTTTGTGTTTTGGGTTGACATTCAAGTGTTGGAGGTGACAGCAAAATGAAAGTACTGATAAAAGCTTTTTTTAATCCTAGTCACACCAGCACAACCATGAAGCACTCGGAGGCGTCTGTACTGACAGTAGCAGACCTGGCGGATCTGTTTACTGAAGACACAGAACATCTGGAGTGAATCTGAACACCTGGATACACAGTGGAGATTGAAGTACTCTGATTTTGCACATTTTTTTATATAAGCATCTTAAAGTAATCAAATACATTCCCAAAAATGATATTTTATCAGATCACTGACAGCAGACTATAATATGTCTCTTAATTGTATTGAACTTTTTAATCTCTTTGGAGTATTTGTGTATTTGGCTCACTTGTTGTCATAGCTGTAACTTACTGATTTAGTAACTACACTTGCTGTTCAAGTACTCGTTTGATGATCACATTTGACTAGACTGTACAGTACTGTTGCTTGTTTTAATCTAATATTACCTATATGCATTTATATACAACTTCACTCTAAGTTGTATACAAAGTTGAGGTATTCTCACATCTTTCAGGAAATAAATGTGTGTGGATGGCAGGGTGTCAGCCTGTTGTGACCGCCTCGTTTTGTCCAGCGCTTTTATTGCGGTTCATTTCTGTGTAGTAAAAATGGAAGCAGGAAGGAAGCCATTGACCTTAACTCACTTTCACTCCTTTATCATTGAAGTGAGAGATTGTAGCGGGATTTTCTTCCGCCAGACAATCTTCTTAAAGCTATTTGTCTGTTAAAACAATGCCAGACAATTCAGCCCAACACTTGCACCTGTCTTATTTGCAAGACAAAACAGCACAAGATTCAGTGTCTTGGAGACTAATCTTGTAAATTTAACTCATAAAAGTCGCAAAATGTGAAGAAGTTTTCAGTGTCAATTATCTCATCTTTTTCTCTTCTGTTATCACTTGCAAATTGTTTGAGCAAGTTTAAAGGATATGCAGCTGTTTTTAGATTTCTTCCATTTCAAGGTTTTTTTGAATGTGATAAATAATCTTTCCTGACTTGTGTTTGCTTGCTCAAGTATTTTACAGTCTCCTCCACCACACACACATACACTCACAAGTCTTTGGCATCGCGACTGAATTGCCTTTGACTCGTAATGACTTTCTTTTTGCCTGACTGACTGGGATTCCCGCACCAGTAAAGATTTTAAAATGTCCAGACAAAGGATGTGGACAACAAAGAGTGGCAGCCTAGTACTGTTGTTCCTCCTCACATGGTTACCAGACTTCTTGTTGCTCCCTGTAGTAAGACACAGTTGTAAGATGTTTACTAAGAGGACATGGCCACAGTAGGCGGTAACATACGTGTTACCTTGGACTCCCCCCAGTTTCCCCTATTCATGTGCGGAATCTCAGTGTTGGTGGGGACATCATTCAAGCTGGTGTTTTAAGGCCAGAGGGAGGCTCCCAGTTCATTAGAGCTGTGTTTCGAGGGTTGGAGTAAGAGAGGGGTGCTACGTCTTGTGGTGACAGCGAGCTGTGGTGAATAGTCCACCAGAATATTCACGGAGTTGCGGGGAGAGGGCCAAAAGGTAGCGGAGTGGCTGAGCTGAGAGGAACCAGAGGGAGAGTCTTTGGAAGATGGCACCTGCCAGTTTGGTTTTTGCCTGGTTACTGTTCACCATGAGGATGGTCACCTCGGCAGAGTATCTAGCACCTAAGGAGGAGGAGGGTGAGCTCACACCTCACATCACACACCCGGGAATGAAATGTCAAGGGTCAAACAAATGGCTTTTTTAGGGAGAACTTATTCCTTCAAGAAGTTTTTAGAGAGTCATTTTTCACATTGACAGTTATTGGTTTTCACAATGGACCATTTAATGCTTCAAGACAAGTAAAAATTTCCTCTTTTTTTTTAAATAGTGGTTCTGGTTCTAGTAACATTTTATTTGGATAGTCCACCTACAGATTTTAATGAGTATTGTTGAGATTCATAAATTCAACTGTCATGTGTCTGTAGGTGTTTATACAGAGTATAGAGTATATGTGTCAATTCACTACATATTCTCCAAATAAATCAGCTGAACTTGAATTATTCACTCAGCCTATGTAGAATCATTTGAGTTAATAGTTCAACTAAATTATTCTGAGAATATGTAGGTATGTTTATTAACTGTCACATATACTCCATAGATAATCTGCAAAACATCCAAAGCATAAAGCAGAATTGTTTTCAACAAATAAGCTGTTGAAATGTTACAAATACTCACAAACCCACAAACTATTTGTGGGCGGACTATCCAAGTGTTACCCGAGTATCTGTCACACTGGCAGCAGTATAATTTGGCATTAAGAGGTTAGCAGTGGTGACAGAAGTATTCAGAATACTTCTGAATACTAAATCACAAATTTAAGCCTAGCGTTACAGTACAGAAATATCAAGAATAAAAGTACTTATTATTCAGCAGAATGACAGCAGATTTTACACACTATTGATCATTATAATTGATGCAGTTATGTGTAAGCAGCATTTAATGTAGCTTGTTGAGGTGGAGCTAACTTGAATTACTTTGTATACTATTGGGTGGTCTAATCTATAAAGATTCTTGTGTATTTATGATTCTTGATTTCTGCAATTCTTGTTTTTATTTCATTGTCTCTCACTAGGTTTAATTTATGCACCAATACAGCAAAGAAAATCTTTATATATTGCAATAAACCGTCGTATTCTCCTGATTCTAAGCTGTTAGATAAATGTAGTGGAGTGAAAAGTATAAAGTAGCAGAAAATGGAAATACTACAGTACTGAGTTACATTGCACCACTGACCTTTAGGTATCAGTGGTTTGACTTTGGGTGTAAAATATATAGATTGTCTATGAGATTTAACATGTGATGATACACATGTAAAAATAAATATCTATATTTAGCGTCTGAGAGGCAGAATGGTAGAAAACCCAAAGTACAAAGAAAGAAGTGAATTCCTGCACATACTTAACACCTCTGCATTGATGTATTAAAAAACTGTGGATGTTTCGGTCATAAGAAACTTTTTTTGAGACATATTAAAACATAATAAAGGGGAGCAGTACTTAAATATGGCCTACAATGCATGATAGGTCACAGCTGTGTTGGAGGTGTGTCCATAATCACACAGAAACAACCACTCAAGAATCCCTCCACTATTCAAGCATACAACACTGGTGATGCACTTCTCAAGTTAATGGCAAATACACACAAAACACAGCCCAAATTTACAATACGCAAATACCTGTCTTATGATGCTACATTCATCCATGTAAGTACACAGAAACACACACCAAAACACATTTTTGTGATTATGTTGACAGTATTTCATTACACATGGGAAGGGGTGTGCAGGAATTCACTTCTTTCTTCAAAATTTGAGAGAGAGGATAAAGTGGTGTGTGTTTGTGTTGTCTTCCACTCATTAGTAAACCCAAAAGGGGGTTAAACTTTTAAAAAACATCTCTTCACATTATCTGAAAGGAATATTCTTTGTGTGCAATATAATCTGTTTCTATCTTCCTTCTATTAGAGCTCAATGAAACTGTCACTTGCACCAACGACCATATGGAGGTTGTTATTCCCAGTGCTTTCTTCCTCAAGAAAGTGCCTCCAGTTTACGTAAGTGAGCACCCTCAAAACTCAAGCTTTCTCTCACCATAGGCATCCCCCAGTACTGGTAGCTTAAACTGTTTGCTAAAGAAAAGATTTTTTTGTATTGTGTGTTTTTCTGCTTAGGTTTGGGATTTGCATTTAAATGACCCAGAGTGCCGCGGCGTCGAGATCGGAGATGACTACGTTTTCAGCATAAAGACGAACCTCTCTGACTGTGGAACAATAATGGTATCACGTCAATCTTTTGCTCAACATTTAAGCTCTAAAGTGGGTGATAGCTTCTCAGTCAGGCTGTGTCTGCAGGAGTCTAACTAATCAAATGTTGCACGTGAACTCGGACGTTTAGAACAACCCTCAACAAAAGATGAAGACAAACTACACTTAGCATCTCCATTATTGACACCATAAGATCCCCATCATAATAAATTATCTGTTTTACGACGTCTGCAGTTGTTGTGGGAACTGGATCTATTTGCTGCCAAAAAAGTGCTTCTTTAGTCGATCTATTGCACTTTACATAACAGTAAAAATAACCTGAATAGGACAAGACACTTTTTTTTCCTGCTGTGAAGTAAATGTGGACTGTGAGGCTCTGTGTCCATCTGAACACAGAGCCTCACAGAGCCTGCTGTGATGTAAATGTGGACTGTGAGGCTCTGTGTTCAGATGGACACTATGGAATTAGCTCATAGCAAGTATAATAAGATGGACAGAGAAAGGCACAAACTCTGAGGCCAGACAGAAAGGACTGAGGAGAAAAGAAGAAGGGGGGGAGTGGCGTGTATGTCAAGAAAGAAGGGCGGCGTTGTTACTTTTCTCTACAACAACCCAGGGCCTTATTCAAAGCAGCGAGGGGACCCTGAATGACCTCGTAGTTCTAAATTATCAGGATTTACATGGAAATGATGATTATTTGTTGATGCTCACTGAATAGGAAGGCCATAAATCATTGGCCAACTAACCTCCTGATTATTTTAATCCAGCCACTCTCATAGATTCAGACTCTGGTGAGGTTTAAATCCCTACTTCAGCACACGAGTGTCCTTGAATCGCTTGGCTGGAATGCATTCTTGTAAAGCAAGCAAAAGGTTAACACAGCTTACAATGGGGAGGAAATCTCCCAGTGCTCCACCTCAGCAGTTTTACAAGGTTTTCGCATAGCGGCTGAGGAGAGTAAGCCCGCTCTGGATTAGATGGCTGTTGCTAAATGAGAGGAATGCCATAGCTGTCAATCTTGCTTTCACCTTGAACTTAGAACCTTTAAAACCGGCCGTCAGAGAAGAAATGACTGATTAGTTGGGTTCAAAGGTCAGACATTTTTTATTGAATCATGACAGCGTCCTCGCTCATGTTTCAGTCATCGTCACAGAGCCTTATGTTATCCAGTGATCAGTGCAGGTGCTTGTTGTGGCGTAGTGAAGACCTGTTTCTCACTGCAGAGACCTGTCACTGGTGCTCATTGTGGGGGGTTGTGTGTTTACCAAGAGGTAGTAAAAGATGTCTCAATGTTAGAGCTCAGAGCAATTCATCCTGCCCAGAGACCACAGAAGCCACCCTCCGTCTGTGCTCAGCAGGAGCCCAGACAAACCTAAAACTCAACCTTTTCACCCGTCCACATTTATGGTTTCACCTACGTCAGCTGCCTACAGTTGAATATTGAACAGTGTCACTCACATTTACAGTGTGTGAAAGGATGATGACTGTAGGAGTTACAGCTTGAGAAACAGGTTACATAACGAAACCTCAATGACCCCTGTTAAAGTTTAATGTGTTTCTTAAAGCAAAAAGTGCAGCTATGTCAATGTGGAGCTCAAACAGGAACAGTAAGTTCTAGCATCAAAAACAAAACCTGGCATCGGAAAAGGAAACATTGGCACAGAAAAGGATCCACTGAAACATAAACTATTTTTAAACACCTGTGTTTTATGTAATTTTGATAGATTTTTTTGCATTCTGATGTGTATTTCAGTGATCTGTTTTTTTTATGTCACCCTTTTTGAGTGTCAGTGGAAATGCAGGCTAAATTTAAATCACACTGTCTTTGAACCTTCTCTCAAACTCTTCCCCGCTACGTCGAAACAGTGACAGAGAGGTAACCTGGGGAAAAAAACAAAGACACTGAAACAGAGTGTGACATGAAGAAAAAATTAGAAGACTTTCACTGAAAAACACATCAGAATGCAAAACTTAGCAAAATGAAAAATCATTCCACTATCTTGTTTGCGGTTAAAACATTTGGTGGGAAAATACAGAATTAATTGGCACCATTTCAATTTATAATATAGATATATATCTATATAATTTAATCATTATTTGTCAGTCAACACTTTCCACAGGCAAACTGGCAGCTGAAATATAGCCTCTGCATATGCCTCTTCTGAAACAGCACGCATATGCACTTATGGGGGGTAGAGCAGGGTCGGCCATATAATAGCACCTCTTGAGCAGTTTGGGGGTTTGTTGCCTTGTCAAGGGCACTTCAGCAGGGCCCAGGAGGCGAACACACTATACTTGGGTCGTACAGGGACTTGAACCAAAGACCCTCCAGTTCCCAAGCCAAGTTCCCTCACTAACTGAGCTACTGTCTCCCCCAAAATATAAATTTAACTTTTAATTCAATGATCAATTATTAATTTAACTATTTTGTCCAAGTGTATAAAGTCAAAAAAATGACAGTTCTGGGTTTTCAAATGTGAGAATTCACTGCTTTTTTCGGTCTTATGTGATATACGGCTACAACTAACAATTATTTTCATTGTTTATTTATCCGTTGATTATTTTTTCAATTAATTGATTAAATTTTTGGTTTATCAAATGTCAGAAAATGGTGAAGAAATGTCAGATCAGTGTTTCCCAAAGCCTAAGATGACGTCCTCAAATGTCTTGTTTTGTCCACAACCCAAAGATATTCAGTTTACTGTCCTAGAGGAGGACAGAAACCAGAAAATATCCACATTTAAGAAGCTGCAATCAAAGAGTTGTGACTATTTTTTCTTTAAAAATTACCATTATCAAATTAGTTGGTAAGTAATTTAATAGTTGACAACTAATTAATTAATTGATAAATCATTGCAGCTCTAAAGTGATAGCAAATTGAATATATTTGGATTTTAGGCAAAACTTCAATGTGTCACTTTGGGCTTTAGGATATTGTGATTCTTCACCATTTTATAAATCCAATGTATAATAAATTAAACAAAAATCTACAGATGAATCAATAATGAACTATAATTTGTTGCAATCCTTTTTGCAAAGTCACTGCTGTGTAACGTTCTGCCACACAGTGGACGAGTGCAGATTAGGGTCAGTGGGTCACCAGGATGTTTCAGCTGCCTGATCATCGACCAAATTAAATGAAACATGTAAGAAGAGACGCCCTCCTGATACGAGATACCTGCTTTCTTCAAGATGACTTTTACCTAACATCCACGCCAGATTTCTGCAGTCGCTCTTACAACTCCTCCTGAACCTGATAAACTTCAAATTTAGTCTGTGCCATTTAGAGACCCTCAAGATGAGAAGTTGTTAACGGCTTGGGATTTTGTTGGGTGGTGTGGCTGTGGCAAGGCAAATATCCAATTCTCACAACTAAACAGCAGGTGGTTTGTAACTCCAATGTACATGGTCAATTCTGCACCACTCTTTATTTTTAAGAGTCCCAGCTTATATTTTAATGTACTCAGAGTAAGTTGACCAGATCCACCTCACGTTTGCTCAGAAAAGTCTCAAGACCTTGATGATGGTTTACTGTGAAGGTTTCTGAGTTCCTGTCAAACAGCGTGGCCATTACAGCGCAGCTAATCTCAATGTTTTGACATAACTCTCTCCTCAGGCTTCAGATGATACACACATCATGTTCATAAACACCATACACAACAACGACACAAATGTTATAACCAGAAACTATATCAACATAACATTTATGTGCCGCTACCCCATCAACTACCTGGTCCAGCAACCCGATGGTGAAAACATGATTAGAGTTGATGTCAGGTAAGTGTTTATTCATCATTTAATCTAAATTACTCCTGAACTGATCCCAACATGAGCTGGTTTCAACATGTGAGACTCTTTTGATCCTCTTCTCTCTGCAGAACCATCACTCTGAACACAGAGGATGGGAACTTTTCGGTGTCGATGTCACTGTACAAAGATGAAGCCTTTGAGGACAGATGGACCACTGTGCCGTCACTGACGCTGGATGATGACATCTTTGTGAAAGTTTTCATGGTAAATCACCCTGAGTGACAAAGTCCATTACTAGACTTTTAAACTGACTTATTAAAGGGATAGTTTAGTTGTTTGAAGTGGGTTATATGAGGCACTTATCCATAGTAAGTGTATTACCTACAGTAGATGCCAGTCAGCATGGCCCCTGTTTAGAGAAGCAGGCAGGAGTCCTACAGAAGCTAAGTAATGTACTGCCTTGGACAGGGGCTGCAGCAAAATATATTTTAGCCACTTAAAATAAAATCAATATCCATTTAAGTGTACTCTATATTGAGAATAATTCCACCTAAACAGCTGATCTACATAATGCAGTGTGTGGCACGGTTGTGCTTATGCGTAGAAATATGGAAGTTCTACAGTTACGAAAATGTAGTGCCAAAGGAACGAGCTGTCTGACAGCAAGGTAAAGCGGTGAAAATATTCTAAATATAGCATTCATTTAAGCGCTATTCGCACAGGACTAGTATTATCAGGGGACCTTGTGATTTAGAAATTTTTCTGCACATCCTCACATATCATCCATCTCATCATCTCCTGAGATTTCATTCCATGGATTTGAGCTTGCTCATCCTGCAAAAGGGTCTACATGCCAACACAGATTGCATTATTCCCAACCAGGAAAGGGGCAGTAACGAGATGCGGAGACATCCAACCTAAATACAACCTCAAATCATCGGGATGCCTATTCACACAAGACTAATATTACCACATGACCTTTGTTTCTGGTGTATTATGATAGCTAATTTGCAGTGGAATTTTTACTTTGCAAATAACCTATGTGGCAGATTTGCACAGGATTAACACAGATGACCTCTGCTATTATTACACATTACCAGAGGTCCCCAGGTTTAATAGTCCCCTGCAAATAGGGCTTTGAACTGATGTCTTTAGGTGGGTTTTTTGCCGTTTATGTTTTGCTGCAGCCTCTATCCACAGCAGTACATTACTTAGCGTCTGTAGCGGTTACTTTGCCTGCGTCTCCAAACTGGGAGCAAGCAGACTGCCATCTACTGTAGGTAATACTCTGACTATAGTGCATCATAAAACCCCACTTCACAAAATTATCACCTACATCTCACATTGCCCTGAAGATGACATTATAAGCACATTAAAACACTATTTAAAGCAGTATTTTATGATATGCCATCTATGAATGTGGAAATTTGGCATTAACATGTAATAAAACCGGTAAAATATGTGTTGATGACAGAGACAGAGTCTGTGTATGCTGCGCTTTGGAAAACACATTAAAGCATTTGGAGTATTCTTACTATTGACAGCTATTTTTGAAGTCGGTTTAGCACGTTATGTTAAGCAATATGTTGTGCAACAGGATGTTCCAAGCAAAGCTGTAAAACAAACACTCAACCCATGACCAGATAGTAACCTGAGTGCTGCTCCTCTTCTTCTCTTCCATGCTGTTATAACCTCTTGGTACAGCTGTTGTTTACGCACTATGAATCATCAATTTGTGGGCCAATATGGAGAAGAAATAACCCCGTGTGAAGACCTGACTGTAACCCAACTCTGTCCGTCTCACAGATACCGGCTCACCTGATGCTGCGTATGGAGAGATGCTGGGCTACACCGACCAGTGATCCATATAGTAATATTCAGTACACCTTCATCCGAGACAGGTATACCATGGAGCAGTTTAAAGGTCCAGTGTGAAGGAGTTAGGGGCATCTATTAGCAGAGATGGCATATGATATCCATAACTTTGTTTTCATTAGTTTATAATCACCTAAAAATTAAGAATTGTTTTTCATTACTACCTTATGGTCCAGACACACCAAACCGACATCAAAGAACTTGTGGTGATGAAGGCTGGCTGTTGCGTTGCATTACGTTGCCTGTGTCGGCCAAAAAGTGGCACTGAACACATCACAAAGACCACAACCAAAGATGTTCTGTAACGAATATGGCGTATTACACTCCTCTCCTCTTCATCCCCCCCCATCTTGTTTGAAAGTGACCAGAGTGATGGTTCAGCGTCACAGAGATTCTGTGTTGCCAGATCTTGTTAGACTGTGTTGCTGAGACAGAGACTGGTCTTGAACAATTCTCCCTGATTTGTCTTTCTCAGTATGAATAAGCTCAGGACTGCCGTGATTCTATTAAAGGGGCAAGCAGTGGCGAAACCCATGTGACACAGACACAGGAAATTAATCCTTAGTGGGCTGTCTTGTTTTATCAATGGTTTCGGCAACAATCAACGGCCAACTAGCACGTACATACTGCGCCTGTGTGAGAGGAAATAACTCTCTATACCAGCAGGTGGCAGTAGTCTGTATGTTGTTGGTAGATGGTAGTTAGCCACACAGCACACGAACAACACAACCCGATGTTTAAAGAACAAAGGATATTTACCGTGCGGTACTAAACAATAACACAAACAATTACGAAATTGTTTCTGCTGAAGAGCTCAATTGCTGAATCATAATTGTACCTAATATAACAAGCTTGTTTTTATCTCACACCCTCTTGACTTGAGTTGTTTGTTTGCTTTCCTGCCATTGATCCAACCCCAAATTACTCCTGATAGCTGTTCCAGCAGTGTGTGAGTGCGTGTGAATGGTTACTGAGTAGCAGGTGGCACCATGCATGGTAGCCTTGTTTACCAGTATGTGAATGTGTGTGTGAATGGGTGAATGTGACATGTAGTGTAAAACCGCTTTGAGTGTTTGGAAGACTAGAAAAGCGCTATAAGTGCAGTCCATTTACTTCCATCTCTCTTCTCATGCACTGAACTTGACTGCCAAATAGGGGGATTTCATTCACCAATGGGCTCAGCCGTCTCTGATGCCAGTTTAACATGCAGAATCAGCAGAAAAACAGGCAACAATGGCTGACTAGTGCCAACAATGCAGGACACACTGCAAAAACTAAAGCCAGAAACGCTCATCAATGGCCCAACTTGGACCGACAGTCGGCTTGGTGTGTCAGGGCCCTTAGATCAAGCCATTTATATCTAAATACAGAGCAGGTACTTCCTTACAGAGTCTGCCATGTTGTTCCTATATTAACCCAGAACGGACCAACCTTGACTGTAGAGAGGGCCATTCGCATTTTGTGGTTTTGCATTGGCCTTAGCTTCAGTTCTGCAGCCTCACCGCTAGATGCCACTAAATCCCACACAAGACCTTTAAACAAAAGCAATCTTTTAAAATCTCATTTACACAAATGAAGTTTCTTTTTTCAAAAAAAAAACAAAACAAAAAATAAACCTCAGACACTGGACCTATACACTGGCAAAGCCTTGTCCTGCAGCTGACAGAGCACAAATAAATAGTTAAAGATACTTTCTAGATGTTGTGTTGAAACCTGATTGTGTGTGTGGAAATAGCACACGTGCCATAAACACTCTTTCCACACAGCTCTAAGCCCTCTTACAGGAGCGCTGTTGAAATCTGAAATAAGAGAATTTGTTGCTTAGAGAGCCGGCCACAACTACTCTGAGAGCTGGGTCATGTGACTCCTGTCTGAGAGGCCTCGTGCGTTTGAGTTCAACAGCTGTGCATGCCCTTGACAACCGGGCAGTATTTGGTACTGTTAGCAACAGCAGGGCAAAGAAATGCACACTGATTTCAGAATGCCAGAGGGAGAAGAAAATACAAATCTCTCCCTGTGTTGAATCATGTTGATAGTGCTTTTCTAATCTTTACAGTGCATCACATGAGTTTAAATCTGTTCCTTGTTCCTCCGTCCCTGACTTCTTTGTCTCCCTCCCCGTAGCTGCCCGGTGTTATCGAATGAACAGACCCTGAGCGTGCTGAAGAACGGCCAGGGCCCTGAGGCCATGTTCAGGATACAAATGTTCAAGTTTGTTGGCAGCTCTTACACCGTCTTCCTCCACTGCAACGTCCAGATCTGCCACAACACGGCGGGGCTGTGCCAGCCTGTGAGTGAGCACATGCAACACCCATTCCTCAAACTGGTAGTCAGAGGCCAGTTCAGACAAGCAGCCTACTACATGTGCAGCTTACGTCCTTAATATAGACCCATCTGTCTAGAACTGTGGTTCAGCCATATGAGCTTGTAGTTAAGCTTTCCTTTCTAATGTGAATGTGCACTGCTTGACACTGAGACTTGTAGTGTAATTGTTTCTTTCATGTTTTACTCATGTATTTGCCAAACAGAACTGTTCCAGTGAAGGTGAAGATGAGTTAATCAGGATACGGAGAGACATCCCGCTGTCCCATACAGTGTCTTACGGACCAATCAGACGACTGCTAGCCAATAGTGAAAAGCCCAGTCTGAGTATGTTTATGTCAGCTCTTTAACTCATGTGGATCTTAGAGCTTTTAAATCTTTACAACTGTGTACAATTCATGTGCAAAATGTGGTTCTACCTGAGTCCTTTTCTATGCAGATGCAGGCGGAGTCCCTCCCGTGGAGACCTTTGTCCTCGGGGGGCTGCTGGTCGTCTTGCTGCTGATCACAGGAGTGTTTGGGAGGCTGTGGCTCCGCTCCAGACGTTTCTACCCAGCACGAGAGGCGCAGCTCACCCTGTCCAACATTCACCACATCTCAGAGGTGGCCTCATGAATCAGGACATGGACACATAAACACATAAACATGTACATTACAAATGTACAGGTGTGATTTATGATAATAATGAAAGTCTTGCATGTGTTTCTCTTTGTAGAATGAGTTTCTTGAATTGTAAGATATCAGCTTGAATAAAGGTCGCCTTCAAGTGTTGTGTCTGATTTCTTTTCCCAGTGGTGACAAAGCGCACCTACTCAAGTACTGGACCTAACACAGTGACATACTTGTGCTTATCTTGAGCATTTCCATGTAACATCTTATGACTGAACTTCAGAGAAGATGTTATTTTTACTCCACTACAATTATCAGATGGCCTGAGTTATTTTACTTAACCTTAATTTTACCACGAAGATTCCCACTAAGATTCAAAATCCCCTTTACAAGGTATCGTTGTCAAAGAAATCACTTTGAAAGACCAAAACCAACTCTGTGGCGTTAAAACTTCCCTAACCTGTCTGTGACAATCTGTCTGAAGCTCTTTCGTCCTAACTTCAGTCACAAACACAGTTTAAGCTTTTAATAAAGGCTAAATAATTCCCTTAAACAAAGGGGCACTATATATTTTAGCAAATGTTACTCAAAATGAAGTAAATAATGAATTTGTTGGGGACTGTTTTAGCTATGGATATACAATATACATTACTTAATATTTAAAGCATCAGGACAGGGTATGTAGAACTGACACAAAACTGATGGTGATGAAGGTACATGTCACCCAGTGCAACAGTTTGGCTCATTTGTGTGTTTCAATTAGTTTTAGGACACTCTGTGGCACAGAGGAATATGATTTATCAGACTTTGGCCATGTGGGGAATTTAGTCAAATCAATTATTGTTGGTTTTGGACTTTTAATCTTTATGACATCATGAAACAAATTGTGCCTAGCACGCTGACTATTTCATTCTTTATATATGAGCAAGTATATATACGAATATATGAATCGTTTTAATTTCGGTTACGTATATCTTGAGATAGAAAGATTACACCACACAATTTTCTCACAATACTCAAATACATTAAACTCTAAATTATAATCCTAAATTCTTTCACATATGACAAATAATCCACAATCATTCAAAACTTAGAGAGCAACACAGTTTCAGATCAGCACTGAGTCCATTCCACAACTTGACTCCCTATACTGAAACACATCTGTATTTTATGCTGGTTCTCATTTTACATGTTTCATAAATAAAAATTATAATTATCCGGCTCATAATTTAAAAGCTTTTTGAATACAGACAGGAAGGTTTTTGCTGACAACTGAAAAATGTATTTCCAGTGTTGTTAAATACACTACATCTGGAAATCTTAAGGTGTAGGATGCTATAAACAGTTGATTAGTAGATAACGTGCTTTATGTATTATTCTAAGGCAGGGGTGTCAAACATACGGCCCGGGGGCCGGGGGCCGGGGGCCAGGGACCCCCCCCCAAAGGGTCCAATCCGGCCCACTGGATGACCTTGCACACCTAATAGTGATGCACTTGTGAAGGCAAAGAGATGCCAGGTTTCAGGAGCAAGTTAAATGTTGAGTAGCTTTCTTCACGTAAAATGCCGCTTTCCACCCTGACCAGAATACATTTCTTTTCTTTGTCTTTAGTTTGGTATGGAGATGTCAGGATTACTATACAAATGTACAGAAAAATGCACATGCAATGACAGTGAGTAGTTGACTGAATATTGGAAAAACTGAGAAATACTGTTGAAATAAAATTTATTCTTCTGAAGACATCACAACACAGGCTGTTTGTCATCTGATCTGTAAATGGATTAGTGTTTTTAAAATGTACTTCTTTAGACAAAAAAAAAGTGTTTGTCATTTATAGGAAATTATGCAATGGTTTTACAGGTCCGGCCCAATTGCGATCAAATCGAACTGTATGTGGCCCGTGGACTAAAATGAGTTTGACACCCCTGTTCTAAGGGCTCTTTTCTGAAGTTAAATTATAGGATCCATATTTGTTTTGCGAGCATTTCCCCAAATTTCAGCACAATAGGCCATATATGACAAGTGAACAATACAACATATACAAACATTTATTTAACAGCTGCCTTGTCTTATAAAGAACAGCAATAGATTTAGATTAGTTTGTTCTATGTGTTGCTTCCATCATAATTTATTATCTATAATCACGCCCCATTTTTTTCATATACTCTTTCAATTAATATTAAGTAATATGAGTTGAATTTCTTTATTATCATCATCAACATCGCAACAATGCTCATTTAAATATCTATGAAAAACAAATTAAGTAAAATCAAAACCTGAATTGATTCGTGTAGACAGAATTGCAAATGAGTAAACTGAATGTAGACCTGCATAAACACATGTGCACAGGGGTGTTAACAGTTAGTAAAGCAGTAAGTAAAGTGTGTAAAGGTAAAGTGACAGTTGCCTGGTGAGAATCTGCATCCATTAATATCCAGAAATAACAGCACAGACGCTTCGTGAGTGATTCCGTGTAAAACAGTCCTCAGGGTATTCCCCAGTCTGTCTATTTCAGTGCCCTCTCACAGGTCTGCGTCCATAAACCTAAATATGACCATGTCCATTTGCGTGATGACGTAGCGCCGCGACGTCCCACAGAGCACCAGGATCAACACAAACGCCGTTTGACTCAGAACAGCGAAGGACTCAGAGCCGGAGAACCAGCTGCAGCCGGTTCATATCATAAGAAGATTTAGACACATTAAATACTGTGAGATGGTTATGTAGCTGTAGTTTCCACGTTGCTGATGTCGCCGGCGCTGATTTAAGTAAAGAAGTCCTGGTAACATTCACCTGGAAAACCCCGTAACTCGGGTAAGCAGTTTCCAGAAGCTACTAGCTAGCTAGCTAGCTGAGTATGCTAACGAACTTTAGCTGCTAATGCTAACTGGCTGGCCATGTTGTTGATGTTCTTTTGTTTAAAGTTTTTTGATTTATCGACTAACAGGTTTCCATGCGCAGTTATCATTAAAACTACATCTCATAGTTTAACTGACTGTTACGATATTATTGCTGCCAGGATTATAAGTGCTAAGAATTGTTAAAGCCGGTTGTTGCTGTGTTTGTTTGTGTTTTTAGCTGTTTGCTAACTTGCCAGCTACACTTGCGTAATTTAACTAGCTGTTGCTGGCGATGGCGGCAAAGACTCGAACAATAGCTCTCCTGTGTGGCTTTGTGGTTTGGACTTGCAACACTATTGTGGCTCTGTAAGTCGTTGTTTGGTGTGTTTGTAGCCTGCGTCCATTATTGTGCACACATTTAACACTACCAAATAAGCCCCAGGCTGATGATTCACAGGTGTTTACCTTCTGGGACTGTTGTGGCAGGTAGACAAAACGTTGCATATGATGTTGAAATGCATCAAACTCCAAGTGAAGGGCAGTTCTTAGAGACTGAAGGTGAAGGGTCAGATTTGCCCACAAGTCATGGAAATACCGGTGTCGCCATGAAACCTAAGAGGGGTGTTGTGAAAGGTTACTGAACAGCCTTAAGATATAGTAAACATGCAAAGTGTGAAGACATGGGATCTCATGTGTCATGTTGGAGGGTTGCATTCAAGGTCCCATATCATAAAGACCTAGATTTCCAGGTCTTTTTGTTAATTATCAGGCAGGTGCTGTAAAAATATTGTTATAGTGTCAAATGCTCAATTCACAGATAAAGGCAAATAGGCTGTACTCAGAAACTGTGCCTTCAAACAAGCCATCAGGGCTTCCTTGTTATTGTGATGTCACAGCTCTAGCTCCAGACAGAATCACTGAATCACCAGGTAGACAATTGGCAATTGGTTTCACTCGTGGAGAGGTGTTAAATCAGCAACATTGTTGATTTCTGTCGTTATTTTCAGCTGAAACTGTAATATTTAAAGCTATGTCGTAAAACATGATGGTCTGACCTGACATTTCTGCCATGCTTATTTCATGTAATGTGTGACTTTGCTATCATGTTTGATGAACTAAATCTACTGGCACAGAAGCAAAGCAGTGTGCTGCTGTGGAGGTGGCTGCTGCAAAACATCTTTAGCCACATTTAAAAAAATCAATAGCAGCCTAAGAGTAGACTATATATCAACATTTTCAGCACTTTTCCTTTCACATAAACCAGCAACTCCAGTGTTCTGCAACTACTGTTTTTATCAATGGAGTCTGGTGGCTTTGATATAACAGTTTCAATTTCCCAGATGGCGAGGTAAAAAGGTGAAAATATTACAAATATAGCTCACACTTATCTAAACATTTGAGGCAGAGCTTGCTAAGTGCAATTTGATTTTATGTACGTGATGCAGAGTGATTTTAAATAAGCATTGTGACATCAAAATTATAAATGGGTCCCTTTGTATTTCCTGTTGAGATATATTGCAGTGTATGCAAATGACACCAGCTGACAGGAAGTAAATATGAACCCACACTGTTGCCTAGCGATGCAATTCTGGTGAAACAATCTATAAAGCTTAAAACTGCCATTTTAGTGCTGCTACAGTCATTCCTTTGGCTACAATGATGGCGCAGAGACGCCAAGAGCACAGATGTGGAAGACCCAAAAACACTGACCAATCACAGCACACTGGGCTTTTTCGGGAATGGGGGTTTGAGCTGACTGCTTTTTGTGCTTATTAAAAAAAATGTTGTTACTGTGATGTGTATTTGGTTTCATAAGAATTGTAAGATACATTTACTTTTGTTGATTTTGTTTCAGGGTTGAACACGTCACCCCTTTTCCCTGCCAGAACCAGTTGGGCAAGGAGCAAACATGGAGAGCCTGCACTCCCACTGCCTTAAATGCATCAACAGAAGGTGCATGGTGAGACCAGAGGCGGGTGTTTGCTGTGACCTCATCGGCTGTCCTCTAGTCTGTGGGGCAGTTTTTCACTCATGCAAACTAGAGGAACACCGTTTACTGTGTCCATATGAACGGCTGCCATGCCTTAACAGTGGATTTGGCTGCCCATTCACTATTGCAAGGATTAAGATGGCACAACACCTTGAGATCTGCCCAGCAAGTATCGTATGTTGCACTATGGAGTGGAACCGCTGGCCTGTGAGCTACGCTGATCGCAAGTCCTATGAAAACTTGAGCAAAGACTTTGATGAGGTGGAGCAGCTAGACATGGCTTTGGCCCTGCAGGATCAGAGGATGTTGTTAGAGTCACTGAAGGTCACGACCACAGTGTCAAAGAATGGAGATAAAGAAGCGGATGAAAGTGACAAAATGGCCATAGCTTCAAGTCTACCAGAGACAGTGTTGGGTAATGTAACAGTTGAAATGGAAGAGGAGCCCTATAATGGGTTGTACAGAGCCTCAGTTGAGACAAGCAGAAGTTTAGCAGCGGCTTTGGACATCCTCACTAATTCAAAGGATATCGATGTAATTGTTGGAAATTTAAACGGGGAAAGGACTGATAAGAATGGAGCACTACACAATGGGGAAAATGGTGATAGTCAGAATGTTTATGCTGCTGAAGGTGGGAAGAATGTGGACATGCAGGAGAGTGACTCTGATTCAGAGTGTGAGCTCGGAGCGGTCGGTGGAGTGGACTTTGCAGTCGGGACAGATGGAGAAGAAGATGGTATTAGCTGGGCAGAAGAAAATGATTTTGTAGAGCTGCTCTTTGAAGAGAAGGAAGACATTATCGAGGAGCCAATAAATGATTCCAACCTTGTCTGGCCAGAGATGCCTCAGAATTACATGCCTGTTGTAGCACTGGAACCTCCTGTGCCTCAGCAAGCACCAGTTCCACATCCAATGCCATTCCTGCTGTCTGATCATGTGAGAAATAACTTCTTACAACACTTACCTACTGAACTCAGGTATCGGTGTTTGGAACGTAAACTACAGAATGTAGAAGTGCTCAGAGGAATAAGTATGTTTACATTTAACGGACGTCGGGCTCTGTTGTCAGACCCTTACTTGTTTCGAGCAAAGATGGAGGACAAGGCAGTAGACACATCTGACCTGGAAGTAGCAGATGACCCCATGGGCCTCCATGGCATTGATCTCATCACTGCAGCTCTGCTCTTTTGCCTCGGTGACTCTCCAGGAGGCAGAGGAATCTCAGACAGCAGGTTTGTTGATGGCTACCACATCGACTTTGGTACTCAGACATTCTCCTTTCCTTCAGCCATTCTTGCAACCAACACCATGGTGGGAGACATCGCTTCGGCCTCAGCCTGTGATCACGCCAGCCCACAGCTCTCCAATCCAAGCCCCTTCCACACTCTCAGGCTGGACCTGGTGCTCGAATGTGTAGCTAGATACCAAACAAAGCAGCGCTCCATGTTCACATTTGTGTGCGGGCAGCTGTTCCGGCGGGATGAGTTCTCGTCTCATTTCAAGAACGTTCACGGAGATATTCATGCCGGACTCAACGGCTGGATGGAGCAGCGCTGCCCCCTGGCCTACTATGGCTGCACCTACTCCCAAAGACGATTCTGCCCGTCTGTACAGGGCTTCAGAATCATCCATGACAGACACCTTGGCTCGTTTGGAGTTCAGCCCGGTTTGCCCTTAAGAAATGGGGAGAACTACCCAAGAAGAAACTTCCGCTATGGCCCAAGGACTGATCAGTTCAGCAGCCTACCTTTCGAGGTGTTGCAACATGTAGCAAGCTTCCTGGACAGCTTTAGCTTGTGCCAACTGTCCAGAGTGTCCCGCACCATGAGGGATGTGTGTGCTAGTTTGCTCCAGATGCGTGGCATGGTCGTCCTGCTGTGGGAGAAGAAACGGCGCGCTGATGGGTCTCCATCATGGCAGATCACAGACAAGGTGAGTCATTTTTCACATTTTAAAAAACACATCTGTTAACCAATGTAACTCATTTTCTTTGTGGAACTATGGTGCAGCTGTACAGCGTCACAACACGAGAAGTAACTGATTGATTCTCTGTTGTTTGCCATTCAGGTGTGGCGATTCAGCACAGCTTTCGGTACAGTGAACGAGTGGAAGTTTGCCAACATCGCCAGCATGGCCGACCACCTCAAGAAGTGCAAGTTCAATACAATCTCTCGTCGGGAAGAGGCGATCCCCCTGCCATGCATGTGTTTCACCAGGGAGCTCACAAAAGAGGGAAGGTGTTTACGCTCAGTTCTCAAACCAGTAGCATAAAGTGACTTGATGAAGTCATCTTTTGGACTTTTCTTGAGACCATTAGAACTCAAATACACATGTATTTCCTCCAGTGTTTACAGACATTAGTCTCCTCCAGCCTCAAAATGATAACTCCTGGTTGAACATTATAAACTGTTGGTCGTTTTCTTCACAGTGGAAATAATCTTCACTCCCCTAAATAAGACAAAGCCAGTAGCGGCCGATTTATCCTTCAGCGGATGCTGATGTGCTGCAATTATAGATCGGCAGATTAAATTGCTTGCTTTGTATCTTCCACTCTGATGGATTTATGAATACCAGTGTGCTGACATTGTAGCCGTATCTACTCTGACATTGTGTAAATAATCAGATGTTTTGATGTAGATTTTTTTTTATTTTTATATCAAAAAGTCAGTACTGTGCTACAATGGAAGTAAGAGTACAGCCTTAACTTGTGATGAAATTGATTTTATAGTCATGAGGTTGTTCAGAACATCTCAGTGAGATTTCTTTGCTGCTTCCAGCTGGAACAGTTTACTGGTATCTTGCACGGTTTTATATCTTATCCTGATACCTAGAGTGACCACGTGTGCTGCTTAAAGCTCATAGGCCCGCTTTACACCTGCTATTACATGCGTCCTGGTGACTGGTGACTGGATCACAAGTGGACAGCTTCAAGTACAGGTGTGAATGCACCAAATGCGTCCTTACTGCATCTTGAGATCTGATCACTCTAGAGGTGGTTTGGGCTGCATATGGCCACATTCTCTCAGCAGTGCAAACACTAATGTGTCCGCAGTTACATTGAACGACTGCCTTCTCAGCTGACATCCTTGCTTATCTCACGCTGCACCTGATAAGAAAGCTTTAGTTGGTGCAGTTGAACAGACGCAGGACTCAAGGACCGTCCCTGGAGCCACTCCACTTCCTTATTAGCGCAGTCAGACAGCAGCAGCAGATGTTCAATAGTCCCAACAAATTCAAACTGACAGTAAAAAAGGCTCAACTCTGTCACCAAGTTGGTTAATAACCGATAGGTAACGTCACTGTATGTGCGGTCATGCAGAACCCTTTCAGCTTCCCCTAGCATGGAGCTCAAACTACTGCAGCAGTAATCTGCTAGCTACGCATGCCTCATGAGAAACAGAGAAAGGGAAGCAAGCAAGGGCTGTCAACACTATTAAATAAGATTTTACTAATTTGAAATAGTAGAGACTGTAAGTGTGTGTTTAGCACGACTAACCTCCCATGGGTTTAAAAGAACAGCACTTTTCAGTCTTTGCAAGCGGAAATGATTCACATGTTTATTTGCATATAGAGCAGGGAAGAGAGCTCCAATCACAAGCGGCCACTCGAGATGCATGTGGAGATACATTGTAATACCAGGTGTGAATGGACAGACAGAGCTGTTCACACGTGTGATAGGATCAACAGAGACGCACGATAATCCCAGGTGTAAACAGGCTCATAGATTTCATGGCTTTAATTATACATTTTAAGACTGACCAAACATCTGTGGTAGCGGTGCGCAATGTATGCCACTTTACAGGATGGTCATACTGTATTCACTGTGGGGTTTCTGTTAACCAGCATAAGCATGTCACCATCATCATGTTAAGTGTTTAAATGTAGTGTGGGTTGGCATGTTAAAGCAGTAACAAAGGTGGTCCATCTTGCTTTTATCTCACCTCTGACTAATGCGCTGGCATGTTAGTCAGGTGGGAGATGATGTAACTGTTCACTGGCCAAATGGCAGTACGTTCTCAGCTGCGGTTGGCTTGTGGTTTGCCCGTTCTACCAGCTACTTTTAACCAGCAATATTTAAGAGGCTGTTTTATAAAAAGAACTAAATGTAGCATCTAAAATGATGAATGTACTCAGCAAATATAAGAATCCATCAGTGACTGTGGTCAGCTCGGTTTGCCTCCTTCAGTGTCAGACCTCATAAAACCCTGCAGGCCAGGTGTTCAGATATATAACGGGCACACGCTTCCCTCCAGTAATGAGCATCACTAATTATATTCATACGCATTATTTATCATATGTTTTTGTCACTACATGTCCACTGTGTTCAAATGTTGTTGGCGTCTCAGGGTTGTAGCATTAAGCTTTGTGTCACAGTAGGTTGTGTGTAGTTGACGAAATTGCTGAGAACGACATGACAACTTGTCGGCAACTTGATTATTGTGGGGTCTTAGACAAACTGACTGGTGTACCGCTCAGTATTATAATAACATAACAGTGTGTGTTGCAGTGCTGGACTAATAAATTACATGTTTGTCACCCAATGGTGTCATGTTTATAACCGAGTAACTGAAATAGGCTGTTGGCGCAAATGCTGCTTGATTGTTCTTTGGAGTGATCAGACACCTTTTGAATTAGATTTCTAGGTTGGATTAAGAAATAAGGTCTAACAACACATGCACATGAGATTTTACTCACTTATATGAGAAAGTCAAAATGTTGTGTAATGTGGGTTTTGGTTGAAAATGTCACAGAAAAGTAACTAATTCCTTTGAGGAATTTGTGTGATTTTGTTTTTATATTTTCTGATATAAAGCCCAAGTGATAACCTAACTAAGCTGTCTTTTTACTCTGACAAGTCCCAATCTATGTTTGGTTCTTTTCTTATTTTTTTGTACTGGTACTTTTATTTTGAAGAAGAAAAAAGGATCTGCCTCTGTAATGTCTAGATTTGTATTTGAATTATTGATTTGCACATGAAGGCATGTACTGTAAAAGCTGAATTATAATGCCGAGGGGCTGTCTTTGCTCAAGTAGCAGGAATTTTTACTCCCTCACGTTCTGCATGTGAGTTTGATGTCTTTTGGAAATGTTCGGTCAGTCCAGTTGCAAACTCATTCATACAGATTATTTCTCAGGCACAGTACATCGATTTTCTATAACCTGTTACATATTTAAAGCTTGTGTCATAATGAATTTATCACATGTCCTGATTCTTCAGGTTTAGTGGGTGGAGTTGAATTAATTAAATCAGTCTTTTGCTCTATTGAGGTTCATAAACATTAAGATAAATGTATTTCCTCTGTGTTTTCAGTGATATAGTCTTCACAGGCACCTGGAGTGTATCAACACTTTTGACATTTTAAGTTTTGTTCTCACTCCTGCTGATGTGTGTTTTTCACCACGATATGCCAGCTTCATTTGTTTGACCTTTGAAGCATTTTAATAAAGAGGCTCTTGGTTTTTAAATGTGGATTTCTTTTACCTTTTATTGCAAGAAGCTCTCAACCACGTGAATTCAAGGCCCGAATGTTCCGCTGCTGCGCAACGACAGATCACCTGCTTTACAGTGCTTTGTTTCAGCGTAATTCACTAATAGGTTTAGTCTACGTCTGACAAAGTGTTAACAGAGTAGAAATTGCAAGAAGGTAATTGTGTGCACATCTAAGCCTGTGTGTAAAGGAATACTTTACCCATTAAATGACCATTTGTTTAATGTCGTGTTGCCTTGAATTTGTGAAGAAATATCTGTTTTCCTCATATGCCTCCATGCGACAACATATTGATTGATTGGGGATCATGTTTAACAACAGCAAAACTATATCAAAACACTCATTCATTCTTTTTCTGTAACCAATTATCCTGTTACAGGTAGTTGGGGTGCTGGAGCCTATCCCAGCTGACATTGGGTGAGAGGTGGGGTACACCCTGGACAGGTCACCAGACTATCACAGGGCTGACACATAGAGACAGACAACCATTCACACTCACATTCACACCTACGGACAATTTAGAGTCACCAATTAACCTGCATGTCTTTGGACTGTGGGAGGAAGCTGGAGTACCTGGAGAAAACCCACGCTGACACGGGGAGAACATGCAGACTCTGCACAGAAGGGCTCCCCTACCCTTGCTTCGAACCAGGAACCCTCTTGCTGTGAGGCGACAGTGCTAACCACTGCATCACTATGCCACCTACATCGAACATTTGTTGACTTACTCTCTCACAACTCGTGCAGTATAATCCAAGTATCATTAATCCAGCGGTATGCTCACATAAATTTTCACTAAAAAAGTATTGGGGTCTGGTTTGGAGAGAGCATAAATAGGTTTAACTTGAATTCCAGTTTTAAATAGTTTATATATTTTAGTGAAAATGCATGTGTGTGGGAAGTACTGAGTGTACAACTAGATAAATGAGACTTGGTTTAAACTGCACGAGTTGTGTGAGAGTTTTTAAATGGATGTTTTGATAAAGTTTTGCTGTTGTTTGGCATAGCCCCCAATCAATCAATATGTTGTATTTTTCTGTGAAGGCATGTGAGATAAAGTTTCCTTTATGAATTCAAAGTTTCAAGGTAACAGGGCATGACTAATACATACTCAAAAGGTCATTTTGTGGGTGAAGTATTCCTTTAAGTTGGTACAGGATAAGACATTGATTGAAGAAAAAAAGTGGAAAGTATTAGCGCACTGGATTTAAGTTCCTAAAACCTTATGAGACAAGAAAAAAGCAGTGATCCAACCCTACTAATGGTCAATATGACAAAATGCGAGGTATGCATGGCAACAAAATGCATCAGATTCTGTCAATACAAAATATTTAACAATGTATAACATTAAGACCAACAGGCTAAATTATCAAAAATCAAAAATAGTTGTAAAAGGTTTAAATTGAATAAGGACACTACAGACTATGTGACACAACGATGGTGAAAAAGCAGGGCATGGAAATAACTGACGACATGGTTGAATGCCTGGGAAACACAGTCGCCCTCCATTAACTACTGGACCTGGAGAGACTTCTGCTGGAAAAACCTGATTCGCTTTTTCATCATGCCCAAACAGAAGCCTAAACAAACTGGCACCCAGCTCTGCTGCAGGAAGGAATGTGGAGAAATCATGGTCGACCATGCTCATATTTAATGGTCTTGTCCTTCTATTCAGACTTTCTGGAAGGAAGTAGCAACAATAATTTAAAAAACTATGGGTTGTAACATCAGTACAACATTCACATCCCTTTGTCTTGGACATATCCCTGATGGACTAAGTAAAGGTGATACCTATCTACTAAAGATCCTGCTGACAGCAAGTAAAAAGGCCAGTACAAAATACCTTTGTTTCTATACTTATTGAATGTAAAGAAAGAAAAAAAAGGAAAAAAAAGTTGCAAAAATTAGATTTAAAAAAGGCTGAAGTTTTTGGAACTTCAATCCAGTGTGCATACATACTGTTTCTGGAATTTAAAATTATGGGTTCTACCTACATGACGCTAGATGGCGCCAGATCCACACATTTTAACCTTATCAGATGGACAGGATTCTGATACAGAAACGTTAGTGCACACCCTTCACTGTGATGAATCAGCATGACTTTAGGGTTGTCTTATTTTAATGTAAATACACGGTGCACGGTCACTATGATAAAGGCTAGTCCAGTTTTAAGCAGAACCTAAAGATAAAGCACGTGCAACTGAGTGACGCACAAAAAAGACAATTTAAAGTGTGTCTAACCATATAAATTGGAACTATGTGTCACTATTCTTCTTGTTTGTTTATACCACAGCTGTAAACAAACATTTTTACCGCGTCAGAATTTTTTTTGCTATTTTCTTGTGTTAGAGCACCATGTCAGACAACACAGGAGGAATGGCGTTTTAAGTATCTGAGGTTACGCTATCGTTTTACGCACATTTGGACCATTTAACGCATTCAAACACTGATTAAACGCCAAGGTACACATTAAAGTGTGCTGCATATTTACCCCTAAAATCCCCTTGACAAAAGAAAACACAGTTTCATAACCTACTCACAGTTTCTCAGCTGAGTCAGGGTGTTTCCCCTCTCGGTGTCTCAGCCTCCGTGGTTCGTTAATTGTCTGCAGGTGTGTTACTTTAATGACCTCAGAGGACAAACACAGGTAGCCTATAATTAGCTGCTGTTAGAGTCACTGGGTACTATGACTACTGTGGTTCATGTGAGGGTCCAGCCATAGGTAAATAAAACACAGGGATGTGAACTGTAATTATAAAATAAATAAGAGCGTAAATACAGCCAATGGAAACTTCTGTGTGTTGACACAAACTTTGCGTGATGGCAGTGGGTAGCTCTCTTCATAGGCAGGGTGATATGGAGAAGGACAGATGAGGCAAGTATGAATAAATGAATAAATGTGTAAATAAATACAGGAATACGTGCGTATATGCATACATACAGAAATCAGAAATAGCCAAAGTGCTACAATAAATACGGTAATAAATGCATAAATAAATAAAAAATGATAATTAAACAGGTGTATTTATTTATTATTTATCATTATATGCATATTTGTGTATTTATTAGATCATGAGCGAGTATTTTGACTCCATATTTATCTATCCCTGCACGTAATTCACTTGTGTACTCCTGTATTTATTTACTGTTTGATTACTGAAGATATTGGTGCAATAACTCAATGTTCGCAGTTAAATCCATCCTCCATGAATCACACACGTGATCAGGTTAAAACTTCCAGTTACTACCAGGAGTGGGGTTCGAACCCACGAGGACTACGTCCATTGGATCTTAAGTCCAACGCCTTAACCACTCGGCCATCCTGGTACAATATACTCCCATTATAATCACCTGTATGACGCCAAGAAGTCACTCAGGTGAGTCTACCTAAGTACGTATATGACGTCACAGTGCCAAGTCACGCTACCGGTAAGTGCCCACCGCAAACCACACAATGCTGCTGAGGAAGTGCAGCCCTGCAACTCATTTCAACACAGAGAAGAGGACTCTGAAAACACCCACGGGTGTCTCTCATGACCAGTAAGAAGAGTCATGATGGTCTCAGTCACAGAGCCTCACTGGTGATAACTGGGAATCCCCCAGTGGGTGATGCACTGCCTCACACAGGAGAATAAAAGGTCTTTGTCATTTTACTATCATTGCACTCAGAGGATAATGACACAGGCCTGCTGTGCAAACACAGAGCACTCCGACCTGATTAGTTTCCTATTCTGTATTGATGACTTGAGCAAACACCCATGTACACATTGATTCTGGAGCCCTTTTGTTTGGGACAATCTGAGAAAACCTCCCCTGTCGTGTAAATGTGATTGCCTTTGACTGCGTGCCAGTGATAGGCACAGTCAGTGAAGCTACAGGAGGACACGGGATTGAAGACGACACTGTTTAATCTGTGAAAAGTGGAGGCATTACACAAGTTTCTGTCATGTAAAGCATAAAAAAACTCGAGAAAGACAAGCCCTGGCCTATATGCTGCTGATAACTTTTTATGGGGTGGCCGACATGTTGCACAATCCACACAAATCTATCTTGCCTCCCCGGCTAACCACAGTCGGAGGCTTTGCTGTGTGCAATGTGTTTCTAAAGACTTGTTAAGCAATGGCTGTACAAAGAAATACACCTACTTAAAGTTCCAGTTTACAGAGGAGCTGTGAAACCTAGTCTCGATATATTAAAAAGCCATAATAAGGCATGTATTTACATTACTTAAATATCTCATACAGCATTACAAAGCAAGGGTGTTGGTTTTGTGTCAACACTGGGGGCAGGGACACATGAAACTGTAGGTTTGAGGGTCCTCTGCCAGAAAATTCAGAGCATCAAACACTTGATTTCCTGCATTCTGGTGATTTACATGCACCAGTTTGTGCCTTTTCTGCATCATTTTGTCGCGTAAATGTCTTTAATTTTTCAGTTTCACATGTTACGGTGTCTTTGCAGCAATCATGCATGCTGCTCTCAGTAACAGTCAGGAAATAACACCCCTATCTCACTGTATACATTTGCATATGGGCGTGTGGTTTGAAATGTCGGCCTTTCCTCGGCTGAAACAATACTAGAATGTGAAATTTGGACACTACTGTTGCATCAAAATGAAGTCAGTGCTTCATCTGAGTTGAATAAATACACAAATTAAAGCAGTATATTGCAGGAATCTTTGCATAGGAAGCGGATTTGAATCTCATCTTGAGAAACTTGTGACAGTGAGATAAAAATAACACTGATGCTGCGTCAGTTGCAGCAAGGGAAGCAACAACAAAAGAGTTTCTTGCATGGATTGTTTTTCTTGTATTTCACAGCCTTCTTGATCTGAACCGTGGCCTTGGCGACATAGTCCTGAGTCGCACCCACGTTTGCTTCGATGTTATCCAGCATGCAGCCCTGCTCCTCCACCAGCTGGGCCATCTGGAAGAAAAGCTCGTGGATATCCCTGATGCGGCCCTCCAGCTCCAGCAGCTCTTTGTGCCGGTTCTCGATCTCGTTGAGAGCGGATCTGGCAGTCCTCCCCTCCAGGAGGAGATTGTCCGAGAAGACGTTCCACTTGCCTGTCTCGATCATCTCGTCAATCTGCTCCCTGGTGACCTCCTTGCCCATGATCTCTGCTTGCCTCTGGATGCGGGTCTTGCAGTTCTCCCTCTGGACCATCTCAGCCTCGTTGTACTCAGACATGGCTTCGTGGAAGGCGCTGTTTAGAGAAATACACTGTGAGCGTGCCATGCGAGCTACAGCTGATGTAGGCCCGTGTTCCTCCTCCAGCTCTTTGCTCAGCTTCCCCAACTTCTCCAGCCGAGCGTAAATGGCCTCCGCTCTGGCCTTGATGTCCCGTCCGAGCGCGTTAGAGTCCCGTTTAATGCTGCTGATCCTCCGGACAGACGTGAGGAACCTGGTGTTCTGCTTCCCGAGACGCTTCACGTCCAGCTTGAGCAGCATCATCTCCTTCCTCAGCGCCTGGGCCTCCTTGTAGATGCCGTCCATCACGTCCTCTCCCTCAAACACAATGGCTTGTTGCACCAGTTCCACATCCTCAGCAGTGTGGTTCTCCTCAGGCCTGCTCTCCTCCTCTGCAGGCGTGAAGGTGAAGCCCTGCAGCTCAGTCAGTCGGTCCCTCATCTCACCTGCAACAAGAGTCAGGAGCTTTTATTGACCTCTGAACTCTAGATAGTTTTGAGAGAAATAGACATCTGAAGAAATCTGTTTATTTGCTTTCTGATGGAGAGTTGAATAAGAAAATTGATATCACTCTAATATCTTTTAGCCAGCATCAGGTTAGCTTAGCACAAAGGCTAGAAACAGGGTCCAAACATAACAAAATCTACCTACAAGCACCTTTAAAGCTCATTAGATAACATGTTACATCATTTTTGTTCAATTCACTCAAAAAAACAGAGTGTAAAATAGCAAGTCACCATTTTACAGAGTGTTATATGAGCCACAATATTTCATGGCTCTGAGCAGTTGCAAGGGAACCAGTGGTGACTCCAGGAAGTTACTGCGTCCAACTAAAGCCCCTTTCCCACTGCACAAAAACGAACTAACACCTACCAGCATCTGGGTTTGTGTTTAAATGGAAAGGTTAACTCGGCATTCACTTCCAGGTCAAATGAAGCTGCAGTAGTTACAGGTATTTATCGGCTCCAGCTCTGATCAGCAGTGGTGGATATACAACACCCCGGTGGATGCACTAATTTAGCCCCTTTTTCAGCATTACACTATGATGTGGTGTCACAACATACTGCCCATCTTCAACCAAGCAGTGCATTGGTACATCATTCAAAATTAGGCAGCACTGTTTGAAAGAAAAGACTGAGCCCAGTCCAGTGCTTGGGCAGTGACTTTTGGCATCAGACACTGATGAAAAAAGAACGCCACAAGAACAAAAGTGAAGGTGGCGAAAGTCTGAGAGGGGTGATGGATAGGTTCAACAAAGATCAGCTTTCACAAGGGAGAGCGGCATTTGCATCCTGTAATATTATACGGCCAAACCCAGTTGTTTTTCACTAAACCTAACCACGTGTGTTAGTTGTTGGAGGATGTCAATCAATCAATCAATCCATTTTATTTATAAAGCCCAATATCACAAATCACAATTTGCCTCACAGGGCTTTACAGCATACAACATCCCTCTGTCCTTTGGACAGTATTGTTGTACTGACATAGTGCATTTATTTTGAAAGAGACTGTAAGTAAACAGTAAATTTCCTGTGAAAACAGAAGTGTATTTTGAAAGAAGTGTATGCATGTAACAGGCAGAACTTGACATGGCGTCCCAGAACGTCAACAACCAACGCACCCAGTGTACCTTGCACATCATATCTGGACGTGGGATGTCCATGACCAAATGTCAATATGTGACGAGGTCGGAGTGAGAATGTGTTGGAATAAGTAACAGACAGTTACTTACTTGAAAGAAGTAACCACCGTAACATCTAAACTGGCCTCCATGCTGCTTTGTACTGTTTACTAACCCTGTGTTCAGGCGCACCTTTTCTGTCAAATGTGACACATGAGAAATAAACAAACAAAACAGAAAGGCATGTCTACACACAGCTCTGGTCTACTGTCAGTGGGAACGGAGTCTATCCCTTATTTTAAACAGGTTTTCCCACGTACCCCTCTATCAAACAGCAAACTGTCAAAATGTCCAAACATAAGTACAAATTTGTGTAGCAGAACTTTGTTTTTCATTCTATACACTGTTTCACAACCCCTCAGATTTATTTATGACTAGTTGGAGGGGCCCCACCCTTAGGCTAGGAACCACTGGACTAAACTGTTTACAAGGTAGTTAAAACTTGCTCCATCTTGAGCCAGCTACAAGTCAAATGCTGCTTTTACAATGATGCATCTGCATTAACAACCTACTACTCTAAAAGACAACAACATTATATTACATAGACAGTCACAGGCTCCATTTATTTTACTAATAATACCTCTCTACGTCTACGTGCATTTTAAATGCAGCACATATTTTTTTACAGTGTTGTAGCCACTGGTACTTTTCTTTAAATAAAAGATGTAAATACTTCATGTTTTATTATATCTATTATATCCCTCCATCATGCTAGAGGGTTGAAAGATGTCATGTTTAATTTAAAGAACATCTAGTTTACCACAAGAGAAAATATGGACACTTTTTATGTCAAATTTTCCCCTTGGGGTCTCTTCTGCACAGGGAATGAACAGTAGATCTTGTGAATGAGCTGTATCGACAGCTGTAGTTCCTATGGTTTATTATTTTACATTTTAAATATAGTGTTGTGTGTCTAGTGCTCTTTTTTAGAGGGTAGAAATATTCTGCTCACTATACTGAGGCCCTTTTTTATATATATATATATATATCTTGGAGAAAATCAAGATCATTTTTATTCTTTATTTTAAAAACCAAGATTAAGGCTTCAGCAAACATTTTATTTTAGCCTGTAGATCCATTAGTAGTTTAGATGTACTTTCTGAAGACACACAGATGAGTATCTGGTTAAACTCTTGAGGAGGAAACTGTTACTTCCTCAGCTGAGACGTTTTTATCTCAGATGGTCAATTAATGACAGAGCCTCGACTCAATACTGTTATTTTCCATCGAGACTTACTGTTACTTTAGTGCGATGTATGTATGTTAAAAACAAGTTTTATAAGAGGAAATGAATCATGTTAACAAACCTTAAAGCACCACTGGCTGAAACAACCACAATGGTGTAGTAATAATCGAGTTATGACTCTATGAATCGATTATTTTAGTCCATACACCTCAAAGCACATAATGAAACACAGAGCACACATACCTTGCGTTCTCCTCCGGCGGTCCTACACCATTAAAGTCGCTAAAGCAGAAGAGGTGACCACGGAAAGACTCATTTCCTCTTTTTTCTTTCCGTTATAGCCCTAAATTTCAACACGTGCAGGAGTCATCTCTCTATCAGTGTTTTTAAGCTCGTCTCGCAGTCACACTGACACATTGATACAGCCTGCAGCAGGTACTAACGCGGAAGATCACGCCTTCTCCCCACAGTTCACACACATTACCGGGTTGAGTCCAGGAAGAGGGCGATCCATCCATCACACTCACAAGATCTATAATAAACCACCATGAGAGCATGGTGGTTTATAAATATCAAAAGCGCGTAGGTGGATTTGAGCGTTTGGCATGTGCGCAAAAGGCGTTTAAATACTTTTCAGACTTCTGAGGGGTCCAACAGTTTATTGTCAGGATGAAAACATGGGGGAAACACTAACATAAAAACAATATGACATAAAAATAACAGCAGAAAACAGCACTTGGACAAAATATTCTCGCCATCAAGTCCAGTTGGTGGCTGTTAGGAAAAGTAGCAGACAGTGAAAATACTCCATTACACGTAAAAGTCCTGTATTAAAAATATTACTTAAGTGCAAGTGTGTATCTTCAGCAAAATGTACTCAAAGTATCAAAAATAAAAGTACTCATAATACTACAAAATGACCATATGAGTGCTTTACTATACTTCATATCATAATACACTGCTCAAAAAATTAAAGGAACACTTAAATCACACATCAGATCGAAATGAATGAATTATTAAAGTTGAAAAATGTACAATATATAATTTTTTGGGGACAAAATGACGTAACAATGGTCAGTGGAATCCAAAATCATCAACCCACTGAGGGCTGGATTCAAAATCACACTGAAAATCAAAGTAAAAAGTTGAAATCACAGGCTGATAATGTGACTCAGTAGTGTGTACGGCCCCCACGTGCCTGTATGCACTCCCAACAACATCTGGGCATGCTCCTGATCAGTCAACGGATAGTGTCCTGGGGGATATCCTCTCAGACCTGCATCATGGCATCAGTGAGCTCCTGCACTAGGAGGAACCCAGGGCCCGCTGCACCAGGAGAAACCCAGGGTCCACTGCACCAGTAGGAACTCAGGGCCCACTGCACCAGCGTAAGGTCTAACAGTCGCTCTGAGGATTTCATCCCAGTACTTAACAGCAGTCAGGGTACCGCTGGCTATGACATGGAGGTCTGTGCCACCCTCCAAGGACATGCCTCCACAGACCATCACTGACCCACCACCAACTGGTCATTCTGGGTGATGTTACATGCAGCATAATGTTCAACACGGCGTCTCCAGACTCTTTCACGCCTGTCACATGTGCTCAGTATGAACCTGCCCTCATCTGTGAAGAAAACAGGGAACCAATGGCGGACCTGCTAATTCTGGTGTTGTCTGGTGAATACCAATCGAGCTGCATGGTGCTGGGCTGTGAGCACAAGTCCCACTAGAGGACGTCACGCCCTCATGCCACCCTCATGAAGTCTGTTTCTGACAGTGCTAGTGATAGTTCTGATAGTGAACTGTGCTCCTTGTGCCTGAACCCACACCCATAACATCCATCCGCACCCTGGAACCAGTGCATCTCAGTTTGAGTCTCATGATATTTTACAATGATCAAAAGATTGTCAATATCAAAACAGCTGAGGGACGGATGATTGAAAAAAAGTCTTAATGCGTTGTTCTTTTAGTTTTTACAACATAGACAGGTAAACCAGGTCTACAGTCTCTGCTCCTCATCAGATTTAACTGTTATAACAAGGAAAGCAGCCACAACACAGCTTCTTAAAGGGGTTGTTTTTATCAGATGCAGTGGCTCCGTCCAGCTGAAACACAGCGTGCTGAACCATCGCTCAAGTATTCTGGACGTTTTTCTGGATGTTTTCCAAGGCTAAACCCTGCTCCTCCGTGAGCACAGCCACATCCAGGAACAGTTGCTGGATCCCCTCGATCCTCTTCTCCAGCTCCAGCAGCTCCTTGTGTCGGCTCTTGATCTCCAGGAAAGCCGAGCGTGCCATTTTGCCCTCCACCTGGGCAGTGAACACGTTCAGCTCCCCGCTCTCCATCATATCCTCCAGCTCCTTCTCGCTGACCTCCCTGCCCACCACCACCATCTGCCTCTGGATCTGCCGTTTACAAGCATCCCTGTGGGCCATCTCTGCGTCATTGTAGCTGAACATCACCTCCCGCAGGGCATTGCTGAGACACTGGTACTGTGTTCGAGCAATGCGTGCTGTGGGGTCAGAGCTGCCATGCTGGTCTTCCAGTTCCCTTATGAGAGCGTTCATCATGTGCAGCCGCTGCAGCACAGCCTCTCCCCTGCGTTTGATATCTGCCCCGATTGCATTTGAATCCCGCTTTGAAGCAAGAGGGTATGAGCTCTCGTTCAGTGCCTGGTAGTTCACATCTTTCAGCTCACTGATGTCGTTCTGGATCTGCTGGATCTCCAGACGGATTTCCTGGGCCTCCTGCAGGACACCATCCAGGTCCTGGTCAGTAGATGATGCTGCTGATCCCTCATGTGCTGAGAAATCGTCCAGATCCACTGTGGTGAAACCATCAGAGTCAATCTGCGCCTGATGGAGGTGCTTCAGCCGGTCTCTCATGTCTGAAGAAAAGGATACAAAAGACAAAAAGAGATTTTTGATACACAGTGACCGCAAAGATCTCTCCTTTATGTTTGTAAAATAAAGCAGTGATTCCCAGGCTGGGAGTTAGGACTGTTACAGGAGGTCCTAAAGGGACAATCCAAATACATATTTTTCCTTTTACCTGTAGTGCTATTTATCAGTTTAGATTGTTTAGGTGTGTGTTTCCAAGTGTTGGAGATATCGGCCGTAGAGAAGTCTGAATTCTCTCCAATAAAATGCAACTAGATGGCACTCAGATTGCACTCAACAGCAGTGTCTCTTTCCAGAAATCATGATCAGGTTACTTAAGTTAATCCACAGACCTTGTTGTGAGCAGGTTCACATGGGAACTATCTTCTCTCTACCAAACTACACCCAACTACCGTATCACTCTGCAGAAGGAAGCGTGCATCTACTGGGCGAGAGACTCATGCTTGTGACACAACCCCTCTGTCTCGGAGAAATTATGTTTTTATGTCACTTAATTGCTTTCTAAATTACGTTGTTGTGGCAGTGTAATTACTGCCTGGATTATGTTAAGAGACAATGTTTCATCCATGTACCACATCGGCTTTAAAATGAAGCAGCTGGGCAGGATGATGGGTGTACAAAGTGCCGGACCTTGACACCACCACCCCTGGTTTTTGTCTAGACTCCTGTCTTGTGTCAGCAGCACATAGCTTTAGTTAAGGTTAGGGAAAGGTCCTGATTTCAGTTAAATGTTACAAAAGGTGATAAGAAAAAAATGCTGCCGTCACTACAAGTGGATAGCGGATAGCAAAACTGCTTATTGTGATGGAAAACAACTGAAATACATTGTCACTAAACATTCAGCTGATATGTCTTGTATCAACACATTCTCACTTCGACCTCGTCACATATTGACATTTGGTCATGGAGTTTCCACATTCAGATATGACGTGCAAGGTATCCTGGGTGCGTTAGTTGTTGACACTCTGGGACACCGTGTCAAGTTAAGCCTGTTACATGCATTGTCTTCTTTCAAAATACGCTACCGTTTTCACAGGAAATTTACCGTTTATATACAGTCTCTTTCAAAATAAACACACTATATCAGTACAACACTGCATATTGACATTTTTTGTCCTTCGGCAACAAATGCACGTGGTTAGGTTTAGGAAAAAAGAACAGGGTTTGGCTTTACAGTCTTATGGGGTGCAATCACTGCTCTCTTGAGTGAAAGTTAGTGTTTGTTTGACCCATCCACCACCCTTCCCACCCACCCCAGTTGGACTTTTGCCATCTTAGCTTTTGTCCTTGTCACGCTGATGTCAAACGATGCCTTTTTCTCTTGGTTTCTGACGCCACAAGTCACTGCCCAAGTGCCAGATTTCACTGACTTAGGAGTGAGACCGGGCTCCTTGTATCAGCACTTTAACGACTTCCTAGATACATTTATTAGCAATATTTTCTATTTCTATTTTCTTTTGTTCAGTCTTGAAAACTCCACTGATGCCAATGTTGTGTCCATACTTTGATAACTATGATTGTATTTATAGCTGAATTAAAAATTGGCATGTAAGGCATATTATCTTTCTACTAAACTACACCCCCGAGCTGTATCGCTGCACAGAAGGAAGTGTGCATCTACTCATGGACAAGAGGCTCGTGCTCATGACAGGATGAGATGTAAACATTAATGGCCTCCCCCTTGACTGAGCTGTAACGTTAGCTAGCTCAGTGGTGCTAGGTGAGCGAGCAGTAGACGCACACTTCCTTCTGTGATACGGTAGGTGGGTGTAGTTTGGTAGCAAGAAAATAGTTCCTACATGAAACTGCTCACAACAAGGTCTGAGGATTATCTTGAGTAACCAGGTCATGATTTCTGGAAAGAAACATTGCTGTTGAGTTTTGAGCACCACAAGCTGAGTGCCATCTAGTTCCATTATATTGGCGAGAAGGCAGACATCTCTACAGCTGATAACTCCAACACTCTGCAACTCACACCAAAACAATCTAGATTCATAAAGAGCACCACAGGTAAGAGGAAAAGACTCATTACAACCATCAAGCCTGTACTTGTCATAAATACTTCCTGATTGATGACGTCAAACAGGCCTGGACTCAGCCAAGTACACAACAATCACACACTTTTGTAATTGATATATAAAGTGGCCGTGAGCATTTTGTACCTCCTCAGTATCATGTGATGTCAAATGAATGCACTTCATCTGCCAGGACATTTAATCTACCCTCAGGACTCACCAAACAGGTTTTTAAGCAGAAAAGTATAGTATAAAAGTATTTAAGCATTTATGTAATCTGGTTTTAAGTAAGTGGAGATACGTAAACGTGGAACTCAACACAAACAGCAAAGGACACAGAATCAGTAATCCTGAACAGCCTGAGAAAACGCAGCCATAAACCAGTTGCACAAGGAAGTCTGGTTTGTTTATTTGCACAAAGATTAATAAACATTTCTTATTATCTTCTACACACTTCCTCCACATAGTCAATGAAAATAAGCCTCAATTTTAGGCTTTCTTGCCTGCTCTTGTGTTTAAGGTCAGATTTTCTAAGATTTAACTTAACATACCCTCTCAGACAAGCCTAACAAATGTAGAATATGTATATATCTTACTTGTATGAGCAGTTATTTATCTGTAGATGCAGTTTGCAGTCTCTTTAAGCTGATCATAGAAATGGTTGTTCAGTCCAACAGGCAGCAAGATGACTGAAGACACAGTGAACGATTTTTTTCACCATGTTAACATCACTGCTCGTACACCAGTTTGAAGAGGAAAGGTTTTTTAGAAACAAAACTTTCTGCATTCCTGTGGTGTCACATGGAGGCACGGCGTGACGTACAGTGACATGAGGCCTCTCCAGCATTCATCATGAAGATGACGACTGATATATTTTGTTAACATTTCATTACATTCTCGGGGCATCTGTCACCTGCGTGCACTTTTGTTTTTGATAGATTTTCTTCATGAAAGGGTTGTGAAAAGAGACTAATGTTAAGGTAAGACAAGAAAAAAAATAGCACATAAAAGCAAATATGTAAGATATCATCATAGACAGATGTCACCACACGCTGACAGTGGATAAAAAAATAAAGAGGAAGTACTTCAGATATGTTATCTCCCAAAAGGGGTGGGACTGAAGCTTTCATATGTGATAACAAAATGATGAAGTCTTGCAGAGGTCGGTCTGCCTTGACTCATGTGCAGCCAAATATTTTATAACCTGTCTTTTTGGTGTCATGAAATGTAATCTCACTAAAGTCTTGTGAAACCAACTGTCAGATGATTATAAGTCATGCAGCCAGAAATAGAAGTATATATATGGAAAATGGACTTTTCAGTTGATGCGTAGGAAGCTGTGCGATAGTCATTCCCAGCAGTGGCTTGTATGTGATTAGTAATTTCCACTGGCCTCCATGAGTTTGAGTCACACTGGCTCTATTTCTCAAAAGGGTTTTTTTTTTTGTCAGTGTGTCACTAAGCTGTAGATGCACACTCCTCCAGTGTGAAAATGAAACTAGATGGTGAAGAAAGCAGAGAACAGAGTGAATGAGTCTGTAAAATCTTCCCAAAACCACAACATAACACAGTGTAGGCTTTCTGTTTCATTTATCCCCCCTCTTGTGGGGGTTACCTGGTTAAGACTTGGCCTGCTCATGCAGTTTACCTGGTTACTACTGTCATCTGCAGATATTTATTCATGATTTACCTCTCAATCCACAACATTAAACCAAGTTAAAGTTCTTTGGTACGTCAGTAAATCAGAGGATGCGTCTATGGTTTAGTCTGAAAGTTTCAAGTGTGAACTTTAAAATGCAGTATTTATTTTGTCCAGCAGATGTCAGCAACACAACAGTGCTCTCTGTAACATGCAGTTCAGGAACTATCCTCAAGTGGATGATCACCCCAACAACTTTAGTCTGTGTATTAGTTCACACTAGTTAAGCTCGGATAAGAAGGTTTTTCAGGAGGAAAAGTCTTAACACCTGGTAATTGTGAAATAACTCTTTGGTTGTGTTTGCATGATATTCACAGGTGTTAGTGTAATAAAACAAAGGAATTAAAGTCAGAAGGCTACATATCTTCAGTTCAGTTCAGATAAACCAATATGCACTGATACACTGGTTCCCAACATGAGGGTTCTGACCCCAGAATGTCTTGATTTTAAGGGTTTAAAAAAAAAAAAACTAAAATGTGTGTGTGTATATATATATATATTTACTCTTGACCTTTCAATCATTTCTCCTAAGAAAACTAAATGTAATACAATCTACATCTGTATCCACTTTTAAAAAACATTCAAAAACACATCTTTTTAGGAAGGTCGAATATGTTAAGGGTTTGTATATAAATATATGTGTTTTGTGCATATGTCTGCTGAATCTTGTGCACAGAGCATGTGTGTATATGGGTATATTTATATATGTGCCTATTTGTGTGGATGCATGTACATATTTATACACAGTTATTTACATTTATCTGTTTTTATCACTTTGTGTTACCACTTTACTATTTTCAGATATTTATTGTTTGTATTCCTGCTTAATTTAACTGTTTTTATTGTCTTGTGTGTTTGTCACATCTGTTTTGAAAAGTGTTATATAAATACATGTATTATTATCATTAAATGTATTAAATTGTTTATTATTTTTTAAAATTTAGTGTGTTATTCGTGATATAAACTTAAAATTCATCTCTGCATTAAAATTCTCCTAAATGAGAGCTACTTGGTGTGTGAACTTAACTGTTACTTACTTTGCAAGATGTTTCTTTGGTCCAGCACCCACTCCATTGGACATTCGCATGTACATGTGTTTTGTACTGTTTTAGACCTGAACACAAGCTATATTCACAGAGCCTTCACTCTCTGCTAATCAGCTTTGTCCTATGTTAAAAAAAATATGCAGTTAAAACAACCAAACAGCTAATACAGTACAAGGATGGCCAAGTGCCAAGGAGAAGAAAACACTGAATTTGTCAAAAAAAAGATGCAGATGACTGGTACGCAATGATTGGTAAAAAAAAAAAAAAGATAATACAGACAGAGAATTGTATAAAAAGTTCCTCAAATATCAGAAAAACTCATCTCTGATGATTCACAGGTAATTTATCTGCTCAAAATTAATCCTGATCACTGTTTTACACAAACTTCCTGCAGTTACTGTGTCCACTATTTGGGTCCATTGTATAGTTTATGAGCTGTTCTGTACTGTTATTGTTATGCATCGAATATAATATGACAAATTAATGAAATATGTCTTTTAGTCAGTTTACTAAATGATTAAAAAAGGTCCCTGGATAGAATATGAAAGAAAAAGACAGATAATTAAAAAAAACTAACAAATCAGAGGCTAACTGGAGAATTGGTTCTTCCATACATGACTTTACATTTTCCTGAACCTTTTTCCAACTTTTTAAAAAAGAACAAAGACAATATCTTCATATTTTCATTAATTTTGACACTCTATTTCTTGCAATTTTTTTTGAATCTCCATATAATCACTTAATTCCTGCATCAAACACAACCCATGAAACATTACGAGTTCAAAGCTCTAGTTTAAATCTAGTTATCTGTTTTCAGTCAGCTGGTTCTGATTTGAGCAGCTTGTTATTTATCTATAAATGGTGTTGCATGAGTTTTAGATGTAGAATTGCCTGTTTACCAGTCAGGAAGTGAGCCTGTTACAAGGTGAATCAGAGTTTCAGGACTAGCAGACTGAAGTAGGCTACGACAACGCAGAGAAACAGTTCATTGTGAAAGTGCCAAGAATCTTTTCTTAATTGAGGATTGTAAATCTGCCAAGCATGAGGACAAAGGTCTATTTTGTGCGACTGGAAACTTTAAAGTACCACACACTGATTTGGCCCTTACATTCCTCCAACATGTCAACATGCCAGATTGATTCTTTTTATGGAGCTACAAATGGAACCTATTTATTTTGCAGTATGTGTGTCACCAAAAAAAATCTCATAACATGATCAGGGTTACACTAAAGTGGGTCAGGGGAGCAATATCACCTCCTAACGCTCACTTCTTGTATTTCCCCATGAGTCAAAGTACAACGCTGCCTCCCTCTTTCAGGTGGTTTTGAAACATTCCTCCAAATATTGTTTCAGTAATTAGAAATTAAGTTGATTTTTAAGTATACAAAGACTCAAAATGACTCTATTCAATATCAGGATTTACACCATTTGGTCCAACAACATTGCGAAAGTCTATAAGAGCTGCAAGTTTAAAGCATTTTGTCTCAGTTCAAGCTATCGTAGCTATCGTGACATCACCCATCAGTTTGTGGACTCTTGGTTTCTGCTGTCGCCATCTTGGTTTTTTGGAGCCAGAAGTGACCATATTTGAACAAGAGGGTGGTGCTGTGGTGGAGGGAGAAGGGGGGGGTCTGAAAAGCCAAGGAACATGCTTATTTTGCAGTATGTGTGTCATCGGAAAAAAAAACTAAGTCTTTTTCCATCAGTGTCTGATGCTGGAAATCACTGCCCAAGCGCCAGAATTCAGCGCTTTCAGAAAGAGACCAAATTGGGAAATTAGCTATAGGGACCAAAACCATTGTACCAGGCAGTAAACATGTTTATTTCTGCTGTTAATTAGGGCATTTTAACATGGAGGTCTTGGGGGATTGACTCGTTTTTAGAGCCAGCCTCAAGTGGCCATTAGAGGAACTGCAGTTTTTGGCATTCCCATGTTGGCATGACCTGTTAGCCCCGGAGGTTGGTGCTTGATTGGGCCCAACCTCCATCGCTGTATACACTTCTCTTTATACATCTATGAAGAGGACCTGCTCCCTATGTAGATATAAAGGGCTCATTCTATGCTAACTAAAAACACAACGATTCTTATTTCCAGGTGATTACAAACTCATGAAAACATATTTGTAAGTACTTAATGCCATTTCTGTCAATATATGCCTCTAAATGCTACACACTGGTCCTTTAATCAACAAAATAAAATGTATATCAACTGATGTCTATCACTGGTGTTACTTTAGGATTGAAAGTAATGATTTTAAGATCACTGTCTCTGTAACAAAGCATGCCTAATTTAATTTGAAGGACACTCTTGGTTTTTTTTCTGTTGAAACGAATTGATTTTGTTCTCAAACTCAAATAGTGAAAACTGAAAAACACTAAACACAACAGTATCAAAACACTGCTGACCTTTAAGTTTTCTTTTCCAACTCTTGAGTGCAGAGCAAGAAATGTTAGCTGAGCATAAAAAGCACACATTCATCAGATTTCAGTTTCAGTCGTGTGCTTATATTTGATAGCCTTAAATTACCAGGCACAAAAAAAGGGACATGAACACACCTGCAGACTGACTCACGTAGCCCCCATCTTATGTTTTATTACAGCGGGCCTCAGGAGTTGGGTTACTGTAATCAGTGGAGAAAACATCAGCTGTTTCCAGTTACACAAAGTTGTGACTCTAATTAATTCAACTTATTGGCTTCAGACTGAGGTCCACATAACAACACCGTGTCTCAGAGCATCTGACCAAATTAACATGATGTCTGTCATGAGTTTGGAAATGTTTCTCTGCTTTGTTCAACTTAGGTGACACATCAGTCTTAATCAGTCGTACTACTCTGTTTCACCCGTATCCATGAGCTTTCAGGAAACATGCACAAAACAGGCGAAATAAGCACACAGTACGTACAGCAGGCTCCGTCTGTCTCCGTCTCTAACAATGAGCATAAAGAAGCACTTACCTGTAGTACAATCTATTTTTTTTAAACAATTGTACAAAGATTTAACATCTTTTTTGTCTTTATGTCGGTGTTCATTTCAGTCAAATAATTTCTTCTTTGTTCCAGAAGAAATATCTTTACCAGAGACAATATATTGAGTTTTTAAGACTCTATCAGGTCAGTGTCATATGACTTTATGCCTAGATGCACTTTAAAGGGACGGTTCATCCCAAAATCAACCCAAAACTTTCACTCTCTCAAATGAAAAACAAGAAATGAACCTCTGTGACTTTTAATTTAATCATCAGAGTTTGTAATACACATCAAGAGGTACACAAAACTGAATATAGTCGTAAAGATTTTAATCTGGAAAATACTTATTTTCTTGCAACATTTATTTTACACATTTTCCTCTAAAACTTTTTATAAAATTTTAAGATTAACATTTGAATTAATTTTCATCAAGCTTTGTAAACCATTGTAAATGCTGATGCACAAATATAATACAAAATATGGAATTTCTTACTTTTCTCTACGTCATCGAAAATTTTGACAGTAACCTGACATGTCAATTGTCTTTATACACATAAAGATTGAACTATATTGCTTTTTTATGACGGATATTTCAGTTTTAATGTGTAACTCATCTTTTCTCAAGTGTTAAAATAATTTTTGCACATTCAAATCATAATAATAGTCAAAATAAAGCACTGCTGCCATACATCTTGTTGCGGTAGGGACACACTATTAATGGTATGGTAATTTACCTTAACAATAAGCTACAGTATATGGTGACCTGTAGTGCTATTTATCACTCCAGATTGTTTTGGTGTAAGCTGCCGAGTGTTGGAGATATTGACTGTAGAGATGTCTGCCTTCTTTCTAAAATAATGGAATTAGATGGCACTCAGCTTGTGGTGCTCAAAGCGCCAAAAAATAAATTTGTAGAACTCAACATCAATGTCTCTTTCCAGAAATCATGACCTGGTTACTCAAGATAATCCACAGACCTTGTTGTGAGCAGTTTCATGTAGGAACTATTTTCTTGCTACCTAACTACACCCACCAACAGTATCACAGAAGGAAGCGTGCATCTACTGCTAGCTCACCCAGCACCACCGAGCTAGCTAACATTACAGCTCAGGCGAGGAGGACGCCATTATCACGAGCATGAGCCTCTTGTTCATGAGGAGATGCACGCTTCCTTCTGCTCGGTGATACAGTTGGCGGGTGTAATTCGATAGAAAGATAAAAAGCCTTATGTAGCTATAAATACAATCCCAGTCATAAAAGTATGGACACAACATTGGCATCAGTGTTTTCAAGACTGAACAACCAGATGTGATGCCAAAAACAAATGTCAGTGCTGTGTTCCTCCAGAGATTTTGAGCAGAACACTTGATGAGTAAAGTAATTACATAATAGATATAAGACATCATGAGTTTATCCCTCCATCATCTGCAGGCTGAAGTCGGCCCAGATTTATTATAAGGTCAAGCTTTCAGCAGTCTTGTCTATTCAGGTTGGCAGTTTAGAGCATCTGTCAGACTGTTTTATATGTTATCAATTTAAACCCTAAATGACATTAAGAGTAACATTTGAAAAGCCTGACACATGAATAATTTCAGTCTGACTTACAGCAGGAGTATTGTACACTTGAAACCACCTGATGCCTTGTGCATCGGGCATGCTTTGTGATGCTTTGTGAAATCAAATCAATATATGTAACTATAACTTGTATGCCTTAAAACGACTGTAAAACCACCCAAAAGTTTTGTTCTGAAATAAGATATAACAGAATATTACAGAAAATGGCACCGTTATTTCCACAATAAAGCAGTCCACAGATTAATAATCCTGATTCAAGAAGAGTTTGAAGCAATAGTGTACTGATGCTTTATAGATCGTTAATAAGCCATTAATGTCGCAATAACCATGTCCATCCGTCCCACAGCATTGTGTGGAAACAGGACAACTGTACATTTTGTCCACAGTGAGAACAACTGATGTCCCAGCAGCAGTTAGGTGGTGACTTATTCTCATGAGACTGACCAACGAATATCCGGCTACATCATCAGACAGCCACCAGTTTTCCGTGTCATGAGGTGACATGACAGACCACATAATGAAATTAGCCGGCTCATTTGTCAGACTAAATGTGAAGCTCCAACTTCACCCTTTAAAGCTCAAACTCAAGCTGTACAGTGACCTGGAGAGGTTTATGGATACACAATAATCTTTCTTTCTTGTTTCTTCATTATGCAGTTTGTGTCTGGACTTTTAATCACATAAACTGGAATTACTGGATGTAATTTTCCCAGTCAGGCAATAGTGCAGTCCATGTTAATGTAGCAGCCTACCCAATCGCGAGAAAAAGATGTTGGCATTGTACATTTCTGCAAACCATACATGTACAATGTGTGAATTACTGCAAATTTAAGGAAAAGATGGCAACAGCAATCAAAAGCGGTGCTGGTTTTTATAGAATCTAAACTTTTCTTAAAGGGTATTTGCATTACCTTCGCTACTTATTATGTAGCGAAAACATTAAAACTTTACATTTCAGCAATGCTGTTGTTAATGTCTGGTTAGGTTTAGGCACCAAACCCATTTGGTTATGTTTAGGAAAAGACCATGTGATGATTCAAACTACCCGGTTTTGGTGCCACTATCCTGGCTGGAAATGCAATGATGTCCCAGCAAAACAACAACTGCTTTACATGGCAATATTGCTGAAGGAAATGCAGCAATGTCTCAGTTTAAAAAAAAACTACTTTTTGTGGCACTATATAAGCAGACAACAAAAAAACATCCTGGTAAAAAACAATCACTGTTCCTGCCGTTATCTCGGCGGGAAATGCAGCGATGGCTCGGTAAATAACAATAGCTTTTCCTGGCACCATCTTGGCAGAAAATTCAGCAATGTCTTGGAAAAAACAACTGCTTTCGTGGTGCTATCTCTGCAGAAAACGCAGCACTGTCTCGGTGACAAGCAACCACTTTTCCAGGCACTATCTGGGCAGGAAAGGCAGCAATGTCTCCATAAAAAACAACAACTTTTCGTGATGCTATCTGGGCGGGAAACGCAGTAAAAGTGCACTTTTGGGGCACTACCCCTGGTGGATAAACCATGTCAGGTCACTAACAAAACACCCACATTTTATGGCAAAATAAAGCAATTATTTGCTCTTGTTCTCAAACATTAGTCTGAAATGACATGCCATCCACCAATCCCCTCTTCTTACCAATGACAAAGTCAGCTTATAAACTACTCAGAAAAGTTGATATGATGTGTGAAACATACAATGTGACATTCATGGTTTGCAGAAACATACAATACCAACATCTTCTTCTGGTGACTGGGCTGTAGCAGCACAACTGCTTAGAGTTTTCCTCATTTAATGGAAAATTATTAAGTCTCAAAATGAAACATATAGTTAAAAATAATAAGTGAGAGAGACTTGCAGTCTGTCCGTTTGCATCAACCTCAGCAACAACTCATCTGACGCAGCTGCAATAAAATGTCTTGATAAACCTTTAACATACTTAATATTTCACAGAGCTGAAGTTTGAAGCCTATCTGTGCACTAAGGTGAATGTGTTTGCGCAGGTCCGCGCTTGTTGCTTCAGTCATTTGAGGACTGCAGGCTTTTTTTTTTTTTTTTTTTTTTTGATGCAGCGGGAGGCGTGCCGAGCCGGGCCGGGCCGGGCCGGACCAGGCTCGGCTCACAGGCTTCATGTGATCCTGCAGGGAGGTGTTTGGCTAAAAAGACTTTTTCATCATCCGAGCTGCAGCATTTGAGAGCTGACCGTGTCTCTCACGGAGCTACCGGATCGCTTGTGGCGGTGCACAGTTTGGGATATTTCCTTCACTTCAGGCTCATTCCGGACAGTGACGCGCTGCAGTCCAGATAATGGGAGACGCTCAGTCTGCGCAACGGGAGGGCAAAAAGGGTGCAGCTCCTGATGAGGAGAGCGGAAAAGTGGATGATGCTCAGACTGAGCAGAATGCTGAAGACGAGGTATCATCTTATTTCACACCGATTGTTGACACACTGCAGATAACTCCTGTGACGTAAACAGACAAACTTATCTATCATGATTTTTCCTTTTTACCTGCGCATTAAGGATTATCAGTAACTGCAGCAGCACATTATTTGCTACAAAAGCTTTTTATATTTCCGGTGGTTGTTGTGTGTCATAAAAATGCTGAGGCTGGATTTTGTTGTTGTCAGGACATTGCAGGAGCTGCTTGCCAACACATGCATTAACCCCAGGATAAGAAAAAAGTCCTTGTGCTATTAGAGTGAGTGGCACTGAGCACATCAAGCTCACTTTATCCAATTTATTCAAGTGCAAAATGAACCCACCATTACCAATTCTCTCTAGTAACACATACAAGTTGTTGAAAATGTTTCCACTTGCCTTTTTTCCCCTGGTCAATAGTTAAGATTTGTAAAAGCCCCCTTGGTTACTGACTTTTGCTGTGAGGCTAACATAGTTAGGAGCTGTTCATGCCCTTCTGAAGACTCTGTTTTCACCGTTTCACTGATGCTGCAATGGTTTACATTTACTGTAGATGAAAGGAAACAGTGTGGAGGAATAGTGACCTTTCATTCTTAGAGGAACCTGAGTAAAGCCCAAGGGAGAGATGGAATTTCCCCTTTGCTGCACTCAGCAGAAGGCAACATCGATTACTTGTGTACAACATGATCACTGGGTGATGCAGAGCAGGAAGTCAATTAGACTACACTGTATTGTGAGAGTGAAAATAGATATTAATGTCTTATGAGCCATAATCATAAGATTGGGTTGGTTTAATGGCACCTTTAACCTTTGTGGGAAATGCCATCATTAGGGTGGAATAAAGGGAGAAGCTGCACTGTTACAAGAAATCATTTCTTGAGGTTTCAAGTAAAAAGCAAACATTTTCCCCAATGCCACTCTGTTTTCTTATCAAGTTACCTTGTATTTGTGAGCTATTCTGTGTCACACCTATTGGCACTCTTGTTTGCAAAGCCATTTCAAGTCCCCAAGTTTGGTTGTATTTCCTGAAATTCAACAGTATCGTACTTTAAGTAAGATCCATTTAAGAGTAGTCAACCATTTTGTTTTGAGGTGACTGAAAACAAAGCGATACTTGTTCACAGCAGTTAACATAAGCTAGGTGCGTGCATGTAAAATTGTGAACTTTTGACTGGAAAATCAGCTCACAGCCATCCATAATCATATTATGGCTGTACAGTCATGCTTCAGGTTAGAGTGGATGTTTTGTCACTGTCTCTACAAGTAGAAAGGTAAAAACTGGCTCTTGGGTCAGTCTGAACATTTAACTTAGGCTACAGTGTAACTAATTAAAGAAATGTTGGCTTTAAAGGCTGCTGTAAGCCACAAAAAAACTATACCTAATTCATCACAAAAATGCCTTACTGCACTATGTGTATCATGATGTGGCAGAATGTAAAAATCTTTGGCTGGAAATTAATCTACTGTATCAATATCCAACAAAGTCTTGGTGGGTATTAGCAGGTGCCATATGACCTTAACAGCTATATAGTACAGTACAGTTATTTAATTATTGAGTTTCCCACACTGGTTCTTGTTCCCTTTCCCCTGCTCAGACTTTCCTGACTAATCTGGCTCACAGATTTGAGATTTGGACAATTAGGGTTGTTTAACTGTGAGACAACCATCACACCCGCACAACAGTGACTGACTGTGTTGTCTGTATACAAAATAGCACTTTGGAGCCCCAGTTAATCATAGCTTGAAATAGTTTGCTTCGTGGTAGCCTACAAACTCTGATGGATTTGTTTTATTTTTCTCCAGCTAAAAGCATGCAAGCAAACAGCTGCTGCTCCACATTTCTTTTAGCTGAAACCAGTGCTTGTTGAATTATTAATACGAACTAGGTATGTCAGTGGCTAACCATTAATTGGTTAATCAAAGAAAAGATTTTGGATCGTTTATACATGTCAGTCTATAGATTATTTTTTCTGTTCTTCAGTTTACTGCACTGTGCACCAATCCAGTCTGGTGGGAGCTAGCTAGAAGTGGTCTTTATTTGGTGATTACCACTGGTAATGCTGCACTGATCCAACTGCTTTGTTGCTTTAGTATTGTCACCCCAGTCAGTAAATGGCTAAATTTTGAGCCGCAGACTCCCTTTAGCATTGTTAACTAGGCCTTTATTATCACTGGCAGCACCATTAGCTGCTAACTGTTAGCAGTGCCAACACGGCTAATGGTGTTAACATTAAGGGTGTAAAGGGTATAAATCCAATCTTGATTAGGGTGACCATATTTTGATTTCCAAAAAAGAGGACACTCGGCCGGCCACGACATAGCCTACTTAAATGATACTCTCAGCTTACTCAAAGATGCCTTATCATTTTAATATATTTAAAATGTATATGTATGGATAGAAAATTCAGTTATATTACAAAATAATATCTCTCAAAGACAGAAATTCAGATAGGCCCCAATAGGGGACACATACACACACTAGAGTGTGGCCCGACGGTACCCGACGGGTAGGGCCGGGTTTGGTCAAAAATGTAGCTATAAATTGTATTCGGGCTCGGGTCGGATTCGGTCAGCTTACAGTGAAAATGTAGTGTAAAAATAAATAAAATCCTATTGTCTGTTATTTACGTGACAACACCTGAACATAACACACACAGACACACTTACAAATATTGGTAGTCGCGGGTTGCGGTTTTTTTTTGGGCTTGTTTCTAAAGCGTAGTTGCTTATTTGGGCTTGTTCCCAGCTCCATAATAAGTTGTCAAGCAGATATTTTCGATATGTTATTTAAACGTAGGATAGTTTGTCTTGCCTGTTCCCTCTGTCCCTCCCCTTTGCCCATACACACAGGAGACAGCAGAGTTTTTTCCCCACCCGCATCCTGCTTCTAATTGGCTCTGACTCTGATGGCAATGAGTACTAGCCAATCAGAGGCAGAGCAGGGTAATGTGTTTTTTTTCTGGTTAGGAAAACGTCAGTCCTGTAACTAAAAGAAAAAGTTAGAGTGCATAAAAAGCAATAATAAATAAAGAATTTGTGAATTCAGGATGATATTTATTTGTGTGTGCAAATTTTAATTACCAGAGGTTTACTGTGTATATAATGTACTTGGTACATCAGTCTATATTTGCTATCCCATCTGTTTTCTAATGTTAAATAATGTTAAAAGGTGGTTAAACTCCCTCTTGTAGTCATTGTCCTGAAGCTCAGGGGGGAGAAAAATAAATAAACTGTGTACCGTGGGTACAGTTTTGCAAAACTGCGCACAGTTTACTTATCTGTCCACATGGATGTAAATTGACAATCTGTACCCACAGTTTAAAATCCGTCCCCATGGATTGTAAAACCGTGCACACAGTTTATTTAATTTTCTCTCACCAGAACCTAGGGGGGCTCCGTAGAAAAAGTCGCTTGTTTTGGGCTTGTTTTCACAGGCCTGGTTGCTTATTTGTCTCGCGAGATCTGGCAACACTGTCTCTCCTCGCTGGAAGTCTCGGACCTCCAGCCGCCCGCCTCCGCCTTGATTAAACCCTGAAAATAAAATAAAAGAGGGAGACAGGTTTTTTCTATTTTATCTTATTTTGTTTTATTTCTCCCTCTCCTCTCGCTGGAAGCGTCAGACCTCCCGCCTCCTGCTCCCGTCTCAAACACGGAGGTCTCCCTCTCCGCTGAGCACGCCCAGCCTGTTAAATAGCCTGTAGCCTGTAACAACTGTGTGACACAAACTCAGTGCTTTGGTCATTAAATAATGTCGGGCTCGGTTCGGGTTTGGACAGAAATATACGCAGCTCGTGCCACACTCTAACACACACACACAAACACACTGAAAACCGGACATTATCATCAGTTTATAAAAACCCCCCAGACGCCCCGGACGGGACGTGAAAAGTGGACATGTCCGGGCAAAAGAGGACGTTTGGTCAGCCTAATCTTGATGCTGAAACTATGATGAGAACCTTGTTGTTTGAAGACACAGAGCATTCTGCCTCGACATGACTTAATGAATGGTTAAATTCATGACATATTCACTCCACTTGGCGCTCTGCTTTTCCATCCCCTAACGCAGAGTGCCCAGACTGCGCTCTGTCACTCCTAGAGTGTGGTGATCTGGATAACCGAACAGAGCATTCCAACAGCGCTCCGAATTTACGAACTGTCCAGTTTGTGCCAGAGTGCGCTCCGGCACTCAGACAATGCTAGAGGGGTTTTCGGCTCAAATGGAGCTGCTTACTCCACAGGGCTACCTGGGAGGAGACGAGGTGGCTACCACTTTTCCACAGCAACACCATCCCGCCACAGAGTCAGTGTTATCAGTGGTAATAACCAAATAAACGGCACTGCTAGCTAGCTCCAACCTGACCCAGCTAGTGTGCAGTACAGAGCCACCAAGGCTAATGTTAGCTAACCAGTGGAGACCAGAGGTTGGGCAGCGGGCACTATGTTTTCACATGTTAAGGTGGCTAGCCTGCTGTCTGTCAGCAAAGACAACAGAAAATAAAAGGCAAGACATTAATAACACAAGACATTAAAATTTCAAAACCTCTAAACGGATAATGCTTTGAAATGCCATTCTAAAGCACACTGAGTCGATGGAACACCAGACTTAAAGAAGTGGCCCCTTGTATTTAAAGTCATTTTGCATTCTTAAAAATGTACCTGTTTATTACTGATTAATGGGGTGAAAGCAGAGTTAACCCAAATTGACATCCCTACTTGAAAAATGTTTGAAATTCACTTTCAAAAGATGGAAAATTGTTTGTCTAGCTTCCATACAATCTAACCTTTGCCACAAGAACAAAGGTGCATTGTTCGTTCTATGTTTTGTGCTTTGTTTCAGCCTCTCAAAAAACATGGGCAGATCTCTGAGATCAATGGAAAATCAGACGGCTCTGTAGCAGAAGTTAATGGTCACTGTGAGGATGAGATTGCTGCAGAGGGTGTGTACTCTTATTACTGTTACTGCTTACTGACAGACAATGTCAGCATAATTTCAACAGATACATCACGTGTTGGATTTCAGCTTATAGAGTTTCATCTCCATCATTAGTCTTTTATAGTTCTTGTTATTCAAGTGTTTTAATATGTCTTTTCTTTCCCTGTTTAGCTATCCCTCCACCAGATGAAGATTTTTTAGAAAGAGAAAAGCAAGTCAAAGATGAAGACACACCAGTAAATGTTGAAATTAATGAAAAGGAGTCACCTATTGGTGCTAATGAAGATGTCCCGAAGGAAATGATTGAAATAGATGCAAAGCAGAATGACATAAATGAAAGTTTTAGGAGATTTTTCAGTAACATTGGTTTGAAACTGACAGTAAAGAGGGGCTCAGGAGAAATAGCAACAGATGTGCCGGATGAGACCAACAAGGAAGAACCAAACAGACCAGAAGACGTCGAGAATATTTCAAAGGAAACCACAAGTGAGAGCGCTGAACAGAACACTGATGTTAACATTGCACAAGAGACATATGATAATGATTCAACAACATGTCCTACCCTCACAGATGTAACATCCGAAGATGTTCTAGAAACTGCAGAGGAGAAAACAAAGGAAACTAAAGAGGAAGTTGAATCAGATAATGTAGATAAAGCAATGACTTCACCTGTAGGAGAAGATGCACACCAGGATGCCACACCTCAAGAAGCGCCACATTCCACATCTCCATCTAGTCCTGAAGAAGAAGTGGTTATGTCTCCACTAAAAAGATTTTTTACAACTGGAATCTTTTCTGGACTACAGAAAAAAAAGAAGCCTACAGAAGTTGTGACAACTGACAAAGAACTCGCAGACATGGGGGAAAAGGAGGTCAAAGTGGCGAAAGAACAACCCGAACAAGACCAACAACAGGATAAGGGGGACATTAGTCTAGGTGTTGAGGCAGCTACAGTTGAGACGGCGCAAAAAGAAAATGACCTTGAAGTGGAGATCATGCCTGAGGCATCAGCTGAGACGATTAATGCATCTACTGTAGATCCATCAACCATTATTGTCACTGAACCTGAAATTCTGGATTCTCAAGAGAAGGACAAAGTACAAGCAAGTCCTCTAAAAAGGCTGCTGTCAGGGTCTAGTTTAAAGAAGCTATCCAAAAGGCAAAGAAGCAGGAGATCAAGTGATGCAAAGCTGTCCGACTCTGGTGAACATGTTTTAGATCAGTACCTATCATCTACTGAGTCACCTGAGAATCAGAAAGAAGAAACTTGTGCACAATCCTCTGCAGACGCAGCAGCAGAGGAGGATGGCGCATGGGCTTCCTTCAAAAAACTTATGACTCCGAAAAAGCGCATGAAGAGATCCTCCTTGACTAATGAAGAGACACAAATCCCAGGTTCAGTAGATGAACCAAAACCAAGTGAAGGAGGGCAAATATCAGATCACAGCACAGAAGAAGGCAAAAAACGTAAAGACTCATCGGTTTCATGGGAATCTGTTTTGTGTGGATCCGGAAGGAGAAGAAGCCGAAAAACATCAGACTCTGAGGAAGAAACACCTCAAACTGAAGCAAACAAGCAGGATGGCGGATCTAAAAATGGAGCAGAGTCGGCCTTAGAAAGTTCTAATGAGGCCGATGATATTATAGCTTATTCTCCTAAACAAGTAGGAAGTCCCTCAGACAGTGATGGGGGGTCAACATGGAAATCACTGAAAAAACTTGTCACCCCGAAAAGGAAAGTCAAGGATGAAGATGAAAGCAAAGACCACGTACAATCTGATAGTGAAGTTCCTCATGATGAGTCCTCCTTTTCAATAAAGAAACTCCTACCAGGACGAAAAAAATGGAAGTCTGCTGAAAAGCAAGACCAAGTATCTTCAGATGAAGCTGATAAGGATGTAGCCTCTGGTGATGAGGACTCTGAGACACCAGCTGTGGTTCCATTGTCTGAGTTTGATACAGTTGAGATGGAGGTTCACATACAAACACAGGCAGACGTAGAAAGTCACATACCCACGGAAGCAGCCTATGAACTCCAGCAAGACCTTCTTGATCAGATAGCTAAACCAGTCCTACCTTGTGACACTCTGCAAACTGAAGCAAAGGAAGTCCAAGACAACAATGATGCTTTAGAAAATCAGGCATCTAAAACCCCTTCTACAAAGGAAGAACCTGATGATCTTACAGAATCAATTAGTAAACCACAACTCAGTGACATTCCAGAGGAGGCCACTCCTGCTTCAGCCACTGAGGAGGCAGCTAGAGATGACACTATAGCAGAGGACCTCATAGAGATCACATCTGAGGTCTTCACTGCACCAGAGCCTTTAGACATTACCCAGGCAGATGAAACTGAGATGATCTCTGCAGTTTCCCAGTTATCTTCAGAGTCTTCAAAAACATCTGGCAACACAACACCAGTCCCAGCAGAATACGACTTCTTGGACACAGAAGTGCTTCTGAATCAGGTTGTTGATAACATCTCTGTAAGGCCAAAAGCAGTTCCAGTTTGTTCAGATGAGCAAAGATCTGAAAGAATAGTTGTTTCTGTTTCGCATCAAATACTTGAAACATTTGTTTCACAAGAAGAGCCAACAATCCAAGAAACACAAAGAGGACTGGATGCAACTACCATTAACACAGTTTTAAATGTTCAAGAAGTCATTGCAATTGATGAACTTGCAGCTACCACCCAAACAGACAGCATATCTGAAGTCATTGACTCAATTTCCACAGAGATTGCATCTGAAGTTCTTACTGAGGACTTTGACACTGCTGAAATTGCTATAGATGAAATACATGAGGTCAATGTTACACATCAAGAAGACAGCTTAAAAGAATTAGAAAGTATTGATGAGTACCATCATGTGGTTGAATGTCTATCTGAGGTAAATACAGCTGTGTCTACAGATATATTACCTGAAGGTGATGAAACTTTCCCAGATAATGGTTCTTTAGTTGGGACACATCAAGCTGAAACAGAGCCCCCAAAAATTGATTATCAAGAAGCAGATTCAGCTGCAACAGTAGCAGATGAAACTAAGGATGGGGCAAAAGGGCAGGAAGTCCCAACTCTGACAGAAAAGGAAGATCAAATCATGCACAAAATCACAGAACAAATTCAGATTGAGAATAAAGACCAACCACCAGTAGTGAAAGCGTTGCAGGAATTAGCAGCTGTACAAGCTGCTCCATTAGATTCAGAGGAAAGTCGTGTTCAATCGCTTGAAAAGGACATTATATCAGAAAACATACCAGCAGCCGAAACAGTTGCATATGAACTCAAAGAGGAAATGGTGCTTACTGAAGTCAATGTTGGACATGAAAAGAGAGATGAAATGGAAACAGATGCTTCCAAAACTGTACGAGTTCAAGAACCAGAGGTATTACAAGCAGTACAAACAGCCACTTTAGATTCAGAGGAGGGCAGTGTTCAATCACCAGAAGAGGGAATAAAATCAGAAAATATTTCAGTAGTCGAAACAGTTACAGAGGAACCTCAAGAGGAAACAATACTTCACACTGAAGTCAAACTTGAGCCAACTGATGCATCCAAACCTGAACATGCTCAAGAACCAGAAGTGCTACAAGCTGTACAAGCTGCCACATTTGATTCAGAGGGTGGCAGTGTTCAATTGCTTGAAAAGGACGTAATATCAGAGGACAGGCCAGTCATTGAAACATTTTCATATAAACTCAAAGAGGAAACAGTGCTATCTAAAGTTAGTGTTAAGCCTGAAAAGGAAGATGCACTAGAGACAGATGCTGCCAAACCTGAACATGTTCAAGCATCAGAAGCTGTGCAAGCCTCCACATTAGATTCAGAGGAGGTTTGTGCTCAATCACCAAAAGAGGAAGTAAAATCAGAAGACAATGCACCAGCAGAAACAGTTACAGATGAAGCAAAACAAACAGCAGATAGTCTCACTGAAGTCACTGTGGAGCCAGAAAGTGAAGAGCTACCAGTGGATGCTGTCAAAACGGTTCAAGATCCAGAAGTATCAGAGTCTGTTCAACCACCCTCAGATTCAGAGGAGAGCAGTGTTCGATCACTTGAAAAGGACGTAATATCAGTGGACATACCAGTAGCCGAAACAGTTACATATAAATTCAAAGAGAAAACAGTGCTAGCTGGAGTCAATGTTGAGCCTGAAAAGGAAGATGAACGAGAAAATGATATTGCCAAACCTGAACATGTTCAACTACCAGAAGCATCAGAACCTCTGCAAGCCTCCACAGTGGATTTGGAGGAGAGTAGTGTTCAAACACCAGAAGGAGAAGTAAAATCAAAGGACATTCCAACAACAGAAACAGTTACAGATGAACCCAAACAGACAGCAGAGAATCTCAGTGATGTCACTGTGGAGCCACAAAATAAAGAGCTATCAGTGAAGGCTATTGAAACAGTTCAAGAACCAGAAGCACCAGAGTCTGTTCAAGCATCCACAGATTCAGAGGAGGGCAGTGTTCAATCACTTCAAAAGGACATAATATCAGTGAATGTACCAACAGCTGAAACAGATGCATATAAACTCAAAGAGGAAACTGTGCGAACTGAAGTTGAGCCAGAAAAGGAAGATGAACTAGAAAGAGATACTGCCAAACCAGAACTACCAGAAGCATCAGAACCTCTGCAAGCCTCCACATTGGATTCGGAGGAGAGTAGTGTTCAAACACCAGAAGGAGAAGTAAAATCAAAGGACATTCCAACAACAGAAACAGTTACAGATGAACCCAAACAGACAGCAGAGAATCTCAGTGATGTCACTGTGGAGCCACAAAATAAAGAGCTATCAGTGAAGGCTATTGAAACAGTTCAAGAACCAGAAGCACCAGAGTCTGTTCAAGCATCCACAGATTCAGAGGAGGGCAGTGTTCAATCACTTCAAAAGGACATAATATCAGTGAATGTACCAACAGCTGAAACAGATACATATAAACTCAAAGAGGAAACTGTGCAAACTGAAGTCAATGTTGAGCCAGAAAAGGAAGATGAACTAGAAAGAGATACTGCCAAACCAGAACTACCAGAAGCATCAGAACCTCTGCAAGCCTCCTCATTAGATTCAGAGGAGGGTAGTGGTCAATCACCAGAAGAAGTAAAATCTGAGGACATTTCACCATCAGAAACACTTAAATATGAACTCAAAAAGGACATTGTGTCACTAACTGAAGTCTACGTTGAGTCAGAAAAGGAAGCTGAACTAGAGACAGATGCAGCCAAACCTGAGCAAGTTGAAGTACCAGAGGCACCAGAAGCTGCGCAAGCCTCCACATTGGATTCAGAGCAGGGCAGTATTCAATCACCAGAACAGAAAGCAAAATCAGAAGATATTCCACGAGCAGCACCAGTTACAGATGAAGCCAAACAGACAGCAGAACATCTCACTGAAATCACACTTAAGCCAGAAAACAAAGAACTACCAGTGAATGCTGTCAAAACTGTTCAAGAACAAGAGGTATCAGAGGCTATTCATGCAACCACAGATTCAGAGGGGAACAATGTTCAGCTACAACCACAGGTCATATCAGAGGACGTACCAGAAGCAAAAACCACAGATGAAAATGAACTCAAAAAGGAAACAATTCTTCTCACCATAGTCAATCGTGAGCCGCTGGATGCTGACAAAACCAAACATGTTCAAGTAACCGAAGCATCAGAAGCTGTGACAGCCTCTATATTGGGTTCAGAGGATGGCAGTGTTCAATCACCAGAGGAAAAAGTAAAATTTGAGGATATTTCAAAAGTAGAAACAATCACAAATGAATCCAAAGAGGACAAAATGCCTTTCACTGAAGCCAATCTTGAACCAGTGGATGCTGACAAATCTGAACAAGTTCATGTACCAGAAGCATGGAGAGCTGTGCAGGCCTCCACATTAGATTCCAAGGAGAGCAGTGTTCAATCACCAGAAGAGGAAGCAGAACCAATTACAGATGAACCCAAACAGACAGAGAAGCATCTCACTGAAGGTACTGTTGATCCAGAAGACAAAGAACTACTAGTAAATGCTGTCAAAACCCCTCAAGAACCAGAGGCATTAGAGTCTGTTCAAGCACCCAAAGATTCAGAGGAGGACAGTGTTCAACCATTTGAAAAGGATGTCATATTAGAGGATGCTCCAGAAGCAAAACCAGTTAGAGATGAACCTAAAAAGGAAGCAATGCCTCTAGCTGAATTCAAACTTGAGGTAGTAGATGCTTCCAAAACTGATCAAGCTCAAGAACCAGAAGTATTACAAACTATACAAGCAGCCACATTAGATTCAGTGGAGGGTGGTGTTCAATTGCTTGAAGAGGAAGTATTTTCAGAGGATATTTTAGTAGTGGAAACAGTTACAGAGGAGCCCAAACAGGAAACTGAAGTGATGACTGAGCTAGAAGAAAAACTACCGGTGGAAGCCACCAAAATGGAACATATTCAAGAACCTGAGGTATTACAAACTATACAAGCAGTGACATTAGATTCAGAGGTGGGAAACCTTCTACCACTTGAGCAGCATGTAATATCAAGGCATATTCTAGCAGTGGAAAAAGTTACAGAGGAGCCCAAACAGGAAAATGAAGTGAGGATTGAGCCAGAAGAAAAACTACTGGTGGAAGCCTCTGAAACAGAACATGTTCAAGAACCAGAGGCATTACAAGCTGTACAAGCAGTGACATTAGCATCAGAGGTGGGTAGCCTACTACCACTTGAAAAGGAAGTAACATTAGAAGATATCCCAGCAGTAGAATCAGTTACAGATGAACCCAAGCAGGAAATGGTGCCCCTCACTGAGGTCAAACTTGAGGCAGTGGATACTTCCAAAACTGAAAATGTTCAAGAACCAGAAGTGTTACAAGCTGTAGAAGCACCAACATCAGATTCGAAGGCAGGTAGCCTTCTATCACTTGAAAAGGAAGTAATATCAGAGGAAATTCCAGCAGTGGAAACAGCTACAGATGAGCCTAGACAGGAAACTGAACTGAGGGTTGAGCCAGAAGAAAAACTACAAACTGCAGCTGCCAAAACTGAACATGTTCAAGAACCAGAATCATTGTCATCTGACAACGCAACTGAAACCAAAACTGAGGAAGGGGTATCAATGTATGGGCACGCAGTCACAGAAAATGTTGAAGGAGGTGAAGCTCAGGAACTTGGGAAGCAAATATTGTCAGACTTTCCCAACCCAGATGCAGACAATATCATTGCTTCAGTTACAGATGACATCAAACATGACAGCATACCTAAAGTCATAGATGAGTTACAAGCATTAACAGCAGTTTGTGTATCAGTTAATGAGGATGTAGGTCATGTTCATGTTCTAGAAAAGACTGAAATTACTAAAGAAACCCCAACACCTTGTGAAGACAATGCTGCAGTTACAAATGAATCCAAACACGAAGTACATCTCAGTGCAGTGCAAGTCACTGAGACTACTGTAGATGAGCATGCTGTTGTGGCACTAACAGTCCCATGTCATTTCAAAGATGTCTCAGCTGCAATACCTGATGTTCTGATAGAAGAAACAGCAGCCATTACTGAACCCTTGATAGACACAGTGACAAGTGAGCTAGTGTTCAAAGAGGGAGTCGAGGCCACCACACCATTAGTGAAAGATGCTGTGGCTGAGACAGCAGAGGAAAGCAGTGTGGTTGTGATAATGCATGTGCCATCAGTGGAGTTTGAGGACAATCATACAAATGGAGTGAAGGTGGTCGATGCTGATATAAAATCAGCTGAGACAATTGTGGACACAGTGCTAGAGGCAGGGGTAACTGAGGACAAAGAAGTCATAGATGTTTGTCATGTTATGGTTACAAAGGTAGACAATCTCTCCGCAACTCCCAAGCTTGAAAAGGAATTAACGAATGAGGAAAACAAGGTGACCATTCAAGAAGTTATTCAACATGTAATGGAGCACTTACCAGGGACAGTGCCAGAATCAGTGGTTGTCAACTTGGAAAAAAAAAGTATAACACAGAGTGAGATGGTTGAAAGTGAATCAAATGACATGGAGGACCAAAAAGTGATGGAGGATAGTACGGTAACATTCAGGGAAAGACGAGATGAAGACCTTGCTGTCATCAGTAACGACTCTGGACAGAAAGTGTCTGAAGATATCATGCAAACACCAGGAGGTTTAGAAGTCTTTATCCATGATCACAAAGACAATTCTGAGGAAACTAAAGCGGAATGGGAAAAATCAGAAGCAGGTGTCACAGCAGAAGAGGTCAGGTCGTCCTCAGAGGAGTTACATGTGAAAGAAATGAATGAAGAAGCACAAATTACACAAATAGACCCCAGTCTGAATGTAACACCTAGCGACACTGGATTAGCAGTCCCCCAAAACACTGGAATTATCTCATCAATAAGTAATGTTGAGTCCCCTTCAAGTCAAGTAATGTCACCAACGTCCTTGCCATCTACAACAGAGGGAAAAGGACCCGAGAAAAAAATAGAAGTGTCGGAGTTCACAGTTCAGGCAGTAGAACCCGTAAACCCAACACGAGTTAAGAGCCAGGAACAGACAGAGCTAACTGAGATCACTCTTCAGACAACAGAAATCACAGAACCAGCCACAAACTTGGATTCAATGGAAAGAAACGTGATCACGACTCAACATGTACTGCTGGATATTGAAGTGACTGAAACAGTAGAACTAGTTGAACATATCAAATCAACAGAGAGAGTAACCTCCAGGGTTCAGGTAACAGAAACAATACAATCACTGCAGCAAACAGAGCAACGAGAGGTGTTTCTGAGTCAGCAAGTACTCTCTGAAGTTGGTGATGTAGGGACAAGAGCAGAAGAGCCTGTAACACAAAAAGAGGAGGAAAATGACCAGGATGAGTGGATGGATGCAGAGGAAGACATTTACACTCAAGAGGAAACAGAGGTGTCCCTTCATAGGGTGGAGGAATCTCCTGAACTTCGGACGGAGAGAGATCAAGAGGGATTTGAACAGAAGTTTGAAATGGCTCCTAGTTCCAAGACTGAGGAAAAAGGAAGTCAACAGGAAATGTACAAAATAGCAGAAACATGTGAAATTGATAGTGAAGGTGAAGATTTTGCTGTTGCACTCGAGCATCCTGAAGCTGAAACTGCAAGCATTACTACAATGGAGTAGGATTAAGCTCACTCAACTTCAGTGTCAGTAACCGGTGAGCCTCTCACTTTACTCTTGTTTTAGTGTCCTTTTTGTGAGATTTGGACCACTGAAGCTGGGGTAGGCAGTTTTTGTTTGAGACATTGGGACAATGTCCCATAATAACCTTTAGGCATATTCTAATTTAGGTGGTCTTCTTTACATAGACTTCTGCACCTTCTCTTGGCTCTGTTGTCAGGCTTCAGAAAATCTATGCCATGACAGGAGACTTTGGCCAATCAAACATCATTTCAGAAAGAGGGCGGAGAATCCTACAAAGAAAGTTGCTTTTCAGGCATTGGCAACAACCGCCTATTTTGCAAAGAAGCCCAAAAAAGGAAGAGAATCTAAATAAGAGTCTGACAATAAATGCAATACAGCACGTGTCAATATTGGCAAACGATTCAGAGATGGAGAGAACATGCTGCCACTGGTTTAGTTTTCTGCTAACAGTAGCCAAAGGCTCACAACTGCAGCTAATTCAAATTAATGTCTGTGTAGCTAATGAGAGCTAGAGCCTCGAATCAGAGTGTGTTTCCCTCCTCACTCCTCCCCAGTACAGACCACCTCCCCTGGAGGACAGCTGGCAGCAAGTCTGGAGTTGTCTCATTTGTGGCTTGATAAACACAGAGAGAGCTCTACAGTGAAATAAGATTAAATAAATCAAAGTATGGGTTACTGTATGAAGCGTGCGCATGTGCCTGTCATCTGGTGGAAGGGTCTTACGACGAGAGAGTAGAGCTGCAGAGGAGGGTGTATTTTCAAATTCTGCCTTTTTCCCCCTTTCCAAGGAAACTGCATACCCCAGCTTTAATAAAAAAAAACACTAAAATAATGCAACCCATTCATTGGAATATCCAAATGAATTAATATCATGCTTCACTTTTCATTCTTTCAAGGCTGAACAATCCAAAAGGAAGCCATCAACGTTTGTAAGAAGTTTTCAAAAAGCCATTAAAGAGTAGCACTGACAGTGCCAGAAGAACACTACAGGACACAGCATTTTGCTGCTTTCATTTGACATTATGTTCAGCCACAAATGTACCAATAATTGCTGGTTAATTGATTTGTGAGATTATTTTACTATCATCAAGCATGTGATAAATGAGAGAGATGTGGCAACAGAAGTGCTAATCGACTCAGGGGGTATGCAGTGTGATTCAAGAGGTTTGAAAGTAAACTATTATACATCCATTATGCAATGGCCTCTTTCCATAACTCTAATGAGTTGTTTGCTTTAGTGCAGTTTATTATTTCTCGTCATGTCAGGTCATTTTAATCATAAATGAAATGTTTTTGCAAAGATCTATCTTGATGTGTTTTTGAAATGAATGTATATGTCTTAAACAGTAGTTCTCAACCTTTATCATGTCAAGAACCTTTTATTCACATTAGGTCATCAACACCCCCCATCCCCAATCCCCATGTGATAAGATTTTGCTTCAGGGACTTCCATCTGAAAAAAATTAGTTGTCAGATGTGATTAGGACCAGAATTATCTACTTGTCAAATACAGTTGAGGAGATAACTGCAGAGGAAGTGAAAACTATGATCAGAATAGTCACTCTGACTCTTACTTACATTGGGATCACTTGTATAGTGATATAAAAAGTGAAAATCGACTATTCCCCATTTTTCTGGGGACCCCTGGGAGGCCCCAGACGCCTGGTTGAGAACCACTGGTCTAAAAGAATAAGACTACTAAGAATAAGTTTGTGCTTCAAATTAATCTGTGTATTATTCAATAATGTTTGTGACCCAGGCAGAGGACAAACATTCATTTCTCTTGACACAAAAGGATACTTCTGCTATATTAGTATATGCAGATATTTCACAGCCTTCGCTATTTATCATCTGTGTTCATAAAGTTCTTCGTTATTCAGTTTTGTTTTATCAAATATGTGTTCTATGGGATCTATGCAGGTAAAAACGGTAGGTAGACTTGAGTGTTAGTATTGCTGTATATTATTTTGTACATAATTTAAATGCTTATACGGGCAGAAATGTGCTTATTTTGAATCTGCCAAGATTTCTACTGTGACAGGTTTTAAGCTGAGAGCATGATGAGAGCATGGCACATCATATTTTATTTTAAAGTAAGAATTTACACAATATATTTGATTTGAAGTTAATCTTCACATACATATTCATCATTAATATAACTGTAATCAGCACAGCCTTAAACAATGGCAGCTTTATTTGTCCTGTTTTATTTCCCAGCTGTTTGTGGATGATGACAGGTTGTTGTCAACTGTTTGTCCTATTTTTTTCCAACATATACTGACTTTTATGGAAAATTCTTGCTGATCTGTGATGTTAACTAATAACAAAATGCTTATGCTTTATAAATTTACATATATATTTACCATTGTTGTATTAATAAAATATTTCATTTGAATAAATCCATACCTGGAGATTTCTGGAAAGTTTCTCTTGTATATTGCAAATTCTGGCGATCACAGGTCAGCTTTACTGAGCTAATAATGACTCAATAAGTTGATATGATACATGCAAACACGCAAACACTGAAACATAACTGGCAAACATTTAAAACAAATACTTTATTGCATATTTTGTAACACAGCACTCACAGATGGTTTTCTTGAACTTGATGGATTTAAATATTTCATTGTATCTTGTTTTTTTTTCTACTGCTGTTCATTCAGTCACATGAATAATGTCACATGTCGAGGTGAGAGTCTCTGCCCTCCTTTAAAAACCAGTATCCTTCATAATGAAAAAGATACATAGATGTTTGTACATAATGTAAAAATGAATTGAGGATTATTAACCACATGAATTCAACAGACACTAAAAAATAGCTGATCCCAAAATTCCCACTTTGTTTTCAATGATGATTTCAGCAAAACAGTAAAGAAACAGTAACAAAAAAAAAATATCATTGAGTAGTTGAAATGTTTATACTGTGCAACATGAACAGTAAGACATTCAAATGTCCGCTTCATGATTTCAGTTTCTTCCTGAAAATACTGTCACATATCACTGACAAAATACCTTTGTATAGTGCAGCATTCTTCAGTTGCAGCTCCCAGTGTTCTTTATAGATGTGTGCATTGATGGAGCAGCAGTTTAGAAGATCATTTTTGAAAGTTCAAACATAACCTACAAGAAAAACAAGCAACAGATGTAACATTATTTAACTTACAGTAAGAAAGCTGTATACATTCTTAACTAGACAGAAAACAAATGAACTTAAAACTGAAATTCATCAAAATGTTGTTGAATTATATTCTCATATTATTAATTAATTAACTCAAGCAGACTAGCAAACATCCAAAAGTGTCAGATGGTGTAGATGGCAGGCTTGATGTAATTAATACAGTTTTAAAATGGAAAAGCACTTTTGCACAAAATCATATTCTTACACATCAGAGCATCATCTTACCAATCCATTCTCGTTCTCAGGTTGTCAAATACTGAGGCTTTGTCACACCCCTATGCGTCTCATGGTGAGGCATGGGGCACCTTTTGGTGTAGCCTATCTATAACCCAGTTTCCACCAAACACTTTTAGTATGGTACCTATGAAACCAAAAGGGCGGAGTTATAGTCACTCACAGCTCCATCCAGCACTCACTGTATGTCCCTTTTACCGGTGACACAAAGGGAAGTCTGCACCTTGTTTATCGCCCACAGAATGAGGCTGTACGCCGACATTTTCAGAACAAAATAAAACAGGCTGCAGTGAGAGTCTCTCTTGATGAGATATTTATAATAGCAGGTTTGTGCATTTAGTCCTTCTCAGGCAAGCTCCGGTTTAGTGTTGCTGGAAGCCACAGAAACAATGCTCCACAATGATTTTTTTTTTTTAGAGTGAGGATTAGGATACATGCTGTCCCTGTCAAAATTAATATATATAAACGCTTGAGGATCCACTCATTACTAAAAGTGTGGCATATAAAAACTAAAGTGATGGTCAAAGTTGTCACAGTAAAATTTAAGATGTGCTGATGGATTCACGTCGTCAACTTATGCATTGAGTAACATTACAAGTTAATGATCCACCTTAAAAGTCGTTGGCAGTCGGCCCAGTGAGGGGGGACTAAAAATTACATCAACAAAACACTGATCAATGACTCATTTATTTCATATGGCACATGGGACAGTTTTGTTTGACCCATCTACCTAACTTCCCTCCCTCCTGCCCTAAGTGGACTTTCTCGCTTTTTATACTATGTCAGTTGCTCTCAGCATCAAGTATTGCCACGGATTGCTTTACAATGGAGTTAGCTGAAAGCCTGGTGCGTGTCATAAAGCCTTTGGCGTCTATATCAAAGGACACAGAGGGGCGTGACAAAGCGGCCATATTCGACACCCTTTGAATAGGAACAAGCTTACCTCAATAGTAATGAGGATGACTATCATCCACTCCAACCTCAAGCTGTGCTTCTCACTCAGGTGGCTCCTCATCAGATCTGTTAACTGTGTGCAGTGTTCCAGCTTCTCATTCACAACCTAAAAACATACAGTTTCCTATCTTAGATAAAAGCATACCCAAGTTGTACAACTATGGTACCACAATATTTTTTGGAGCAGCTTTATTTACATTGACTCTGCGGTTGATGCTGAGGAACTGGCACGTCTTATCATAGAGTTTTTCCAGGTTTTCTCGGTCCCAGTAGAAATCAGGTGTCATGAGCAGGTCAGACCTCAGGTTTATACAGTGTCTGTCAGATGAGGAAGTAAATACAAAGGTTTTAAACAGTCTGTTGTCATGGAAAATACAACAACAGACCTGCAATAGTTCTTGAAATTGCAAATACCTGACTGAATTACTTAAGGGTTAAGTTGGTAGCAAATTGAGTGAAGAAACTGATATAACAATGAGTGGCAATTACGACTATCCAAATCTATCTAAAATACATGGATGTCAACCTGGCAGACACAAACTGACAAAGACACAAAAAATCATGCCAAACCAAGAAAACAAAAAAAAGTTTGCAGTTCCCTCTGGATGAACTGCTATTTAAAGCAAACTGAATTGACCTTAACGTGAAAAGCTCGCCTATCTTCTTCATAACCTCTGCAGATGACAATTTAACTCTTCTGCCAGACTTCAGCGTCTGAGGAGAAAAGCAAATTAGGAAATTAGCATTAAGGGGAGCACTACTACCTTTCACACACACAAACAAACAACCATTACAGGTAATCTATTATTCATAATTTCTTTCTGCCTGCTCTTAAGTGATCACTGTACCTCTGGAATTGTTTGAATTGACTCTACAAAGTTGTCTAAAGACACCTCCCATATCGCCAGCTTCACTGGAAAAGAAAACATGAGGTTACACTCAGAGAGGCTGAGTGCAGCGCTACCACAGAACAACAGTCTTTATTATTTATAGCTGAAGCGCAGGTCCTCACCTGACAAACATAGTGCATTTGAAAATGCAAATTTCTCCAGAACAGCTTCCTGTGGATCCATGTTGTCACACAGAATAAAGTTGCCACGCTCAAGCTTTGTGTTTCCCCTGAAAAAAATTAAGATTTAAATTTTACAAACTTCTACAGTAAGTCTTAAAGGACAAATAAACAAAAACAAGTGTGAGTGGGTGAGTGAAGGTCAGCATACTCTCCAACAGTGTAGTTAATCTCCTCATTTTCCCAGTGGACTAATGCTACCTCATAGGGTTGGATCTCATGATGTTCCAATATTCTCAACGCCCTTTTCATCTGTACAGACAGGATTAAAAAAAATACATTGTCAAAGTTGGCTACAACACAAAAGTAAACAAGAGTTACAACTTATGAAATGCTGAACTTAAAAAATATATCGTTTGTTTACCGTTTTCTCTTCAACATTCCAGAAAATGACTGAGCCTTCCCTGAAATTTCAGATTGGAAAAGTCAGTCTATAATTTGACAAAAAATAAATAAAAGTTACACCGCAACTACAGCTGGGTATCTTTTTAAATATTTTCAACACCAGTATCATACTCTGGAGGTAGTTTGAATTTCAAAACTTTTCAAATGTAATCATTTTCTATAGCCCATTTCTTTATGTAACAACAGATGCCAAACTATCAATGCAATTAAATAACATTTAAGTAATTTTTGAAACTGGATTCTACGGACAAATTTCTGTCAGTACACAAGTAGTACTGAGGTTTGATACCAAGCACCATTTAAATCGCTACCCATTCAGTAATCATTTTAAATAATTTACCATAGGATAATTTATATTCAAGACAAACCCTAAAAAGCACTACCTGAAGAAGAACATTAGAGCATCATCATCTGGTTTTGCAGCCATGTCTGTGCTTATCACCAGCACATTTGCGGCATCTGAAATTAAAACATGCTTTTCATGAAATGTAATAGTTGTTTCAAGCTTCATATATCACTTTAATTCCCCAGAGAGTTGTCATCTATGAATAACTTTTGGTCATACCTCTTGGTAAATCTATCTCACTGAAGCCTTTGCTTATCAAGTCATGGCAAAGTGTTGGCAAATGATACTGATCAGCTGTTGCATAGGCAATACATTGCATCATATCCTACAGAAAAAACATAAGGTTGAATTAATCCCTTAAATAAAAACATGTCATGTATCATCACTTAGGTTCAGTCATTCATCAGACAACTGGCTGAATCACCTTGTCCTCCTTCTGGGAAGGCTGATTGGCTCTAGATGGTTGTTTTGTTCTTGGTCCTTTGGGAACTCTTTTTCCAATTATGGCTGCTGGTTTCAAACTTGGGTTTAAAACAGACTTCACAAGGTCAGGTGAATAAAACCGCTTCTGTCCACTTCCACATGTAGTCAGCATCGCAGGGTCAGCTAACAAGGTGCTGCTATGACTTTTAAATCCACCTGAAGCAGGCAGAACATGTCTTCTATGCATCCGTTGTTGGTGAAGAGAATTTAAAGAACAGGTCCTTGAATAGATCCATGGGGTACACCAGTTTGACTGAGTCCTGGGTTTGGATTCATACTTGTGTGGTTGGACAGACTGAGAGAGACAGGTTGAGGCACAGATGCAGACTGGTTTCCTCTGTACAGGCCGCTGAGCTCCCAGTCTGGACCACAACGTCCTGAGAAGCATCTTCCCAGCTAGAGACAGCAGTACAGGTGAGCTGCGACACAGGAAACAACAGGTAGTGTACCTTCAGGAGAGGCATCATGATGGGTTATGCTCCAATTTAACAGTGATTATAACAGCCTGACTATAACTACAACTTACCTACCTCTGTAAACAAACCTAGATCTTGATAAACACTTAAATAGATACATAAGACATCTTAAATCCAACGTTAATCCAAAAGCAGGAGCCAAAACAGACAAGACTGACCTTGACTACAATAGCTACCTTTCACTATCTTCACCTACAGTCTGGTTACCATTAACCCATTTAAATAAACTGTGTGAATAATACACAAAATACGAATACAGTCCCATAACTTTAAGTACAAGTCAAGAGAGGTGGTTAACGTGCCACAACCGTTACATATCAGTGTGTACTAAAACTGCTGTGTAGCCGTTAGCCGTTGGTTAACGATAGCTTACCGGTAAATGACAAAGTAGCGAGTCAACACGAGCCGTTATTAAAACGATTCAACGCGCCGGAAAACGGCAGTTATGTTAAAAAAACAACTGTGTGCTCAGCATAGGTGTACTGAAACTTGTATAACAGAACTGAGAGGCGTGTTTGTGCTTTGCTAATAAAGTTTTTGGTGTTTTTTTGCCACTCATTTCCTGTTTGAGGTGACGTAATGACGTAGAAAACGTAAGGAATTGTGCCCCGAACGCTGACTGGCAGGCTCAGACTCCTTCGCACAGCCAGTAATTCTGTGCACCTACACACACACACACACACACACACACACACACACACACTATTACACCTTAAAAATAAGTTATAAATAAAGGTATTTGTCATTTTTATGGGACAAAGTCGTCTCCAGCTGTATGCCCCTAAAATCAAATGGTCATATTTGTTTTATGAATTACGCCACACGTCATTAACTGCTAATCTATGTTGTATGTTGTTCCCCATGACTGTCTTTCTTTCTCCTTGTTTCCTGTAATCTCCCTTCTGTTGGCTGTCCCATAAAGGCATTAAATGTCCCCCAAAAAATGCATATGTACATTACAAAAACCCTTCCCCACATAGCTACCCAAATGAGGATTTTCCTTTATCACAAGTACAGATAATGATATGATTTACTCATATGATTCTCATACTCGTAACAAGTACTTCATCTGTACCAGATACTCGTTTCATCCGAGTATTGGGTTTGATCTGTCTTATCACTAGGCCAGTGCCTTCCAGACTGCAAGAGGGATCACCTACTACACTTTTGTTCCACAAAATGGTTGTTTTTTTCCCCCTGACATTTCTCCAATCTATTGAATTTTGTGTGGTTCACATACATTACACTCAATATTCACTGTGAATAAGCACTCCCATGTCCACATTGTGGCACTAATAACCTGTCATAAGGTGTAACAAGTAGACATTGCCTCATTTAAGGGGTTCAGGGGCTGACAAGTCCACTATTTGGTATACCTGTCATTTCTAAGTGTTTCCTTAATTCTCAAGTAAGCCTTATGAGCTTATATGACTGTATAATTTATGGTTTACTAACTTTATTCTGCAGTGCAATGCAAACATAATGAACTGACCAAGTGGCAACAACCATCATGTCTTGCTATAGATGATTAACAGTGGTATGCAATACCGTACAGTCTACATGCTATCCCTCAATGGTGAACGGTGACTAGTGAAGGAGTAAACAGTTTCAGACAATGCCATTGGAAGAGCTCAAGTTGGTGCCAGAGGAAGGATTACCTTGAAGTCTGAACTCAGGGCAAAAAATCACCAGGCGTTAGTTAACCTTCACGTGCACTTTCATCAGCTTTTTAGTTTATTATGTTGTGTCTGCTATGGTATTTCATGCATTTATTTGACCTGTTAAACACGCTTACAAGCTATGAGTTACATTTGATTTGCATCCAATGTCCTTTTTTTGTTACTGATAAAGTCTCCAGATGTCAGACGTTTTCAGTTACAGCACCCCCTCTGGTGGAGTGTGGTATAGCCTCTGTTTGGTGTTGCTTGGAGACTTCTTAAAACAGAGACAAGTCTACTGTATACTCACTCCCCCTGCACAACTTTGAACTATGGAAGTTATGGAAAACTCTGATGAGGTATGATAACACAACAGAAATATATTTTACCTTTCTTTATAGTACACATTTGTGATTGGTCATGAAATAATTTGCACATAATATTGGCAGCTTCTTAACCAGGTCATTTATAATTGTAAAAAATGTCTTTCGGTTGAGTTTGTTAGTCTTCTCTTATTTTTCAATTATCATTATTATTCTTATTCTTATTATTCTTATTCATATTCTTATTCTTCTTCTTATTATTATTAGGTGGACCAGTCTAATGAGAGGGAGAGGCTGAAGATGAGAATTGCTGTCTTGGAGGAGAGTGTGAAGTCCTGTGAGGTGGAGTGTAAGGCCAGCAGAGAGACGGTGCTGAGGCTGGTGGCAGAGCTGGACCGAGAACGGAAAAAGGCTGTCAGCAGTGCAGCAGCACTCGATTCACTCAAAGAGGTACTAACACGGCCTTTAAACCAGGGGGATTCAACTTGCTTTGCTCAGGGGCCACTTTTGCAAAATACCAGGAGGCAAAGGGCCAATTAATAAACAACCATTAATAAATAATATATGAATAATTTGCCTGGACTTCTGTCCCCTAATGCTTTTATTTCGTTAAACAAGTTTTATTTTGATGCTTTATTATGGACTTTGGCAACTTATTTACATTCAATATACAGAAAAAAAATCCCAGTGTGAATTAATTAAAATTTTAGTGTGAATGTAAAAATGGCCAGAGGGCCATATGGCATGGTTTTGCACTGCAACCATCAAGAACCACATGAAATTTCCTCCTGGACATGGTCTTATATTAAACACACCATCGTCTGGTGTAACTCTTTGTTGTGTTTCTACCTCTCTCAGGAGTTAGACGGCCTGGTGGTGGGAAGGAGGAGCATTGATCTGGAGAGGGGAACCCTGATGGAGAGGCTTGAGGCCAGCAAGAGAGTCATAGAGGCAGCGAGGCGAGAGTCAATTTGTTTGGAGAAACAGGTGGAGGAGCTTGAAAGAAAGCTACAGTCAAGCCAAGGAGAGACGCAGGCAGCTGAGGAGAAGCTGCAGACGTTCCTGAAAAAGGCGGCAGGCCTGCTGCAGGGGAAGTCTCAGAGTGTCATCCTGCCCACAGAGAAAGATGTCTTACACAATCTGGACAACCTCTGCAATAAGGTGAGGAGTCAGAGGGTAGGGGGGAATTCTGGCACAAGGTGAAAGGAAATACATTTTAAAACACACAACTTTATTGTGAGACCTACCTGTGGCCATCATCAGGTTCACAAGCCGATGAAATCCCCAGTTCTTCTTTATATTACTACAAGTATTTACCTGTAAGGCCATGAACTGAAAATGTCATAGCCTAATGTGTGGCCTTTTCAACACTTACTTCTTTAAAACAGTAGCATTAGTAACTATTATTATTATTTGTGATGGATTAAGATGTAAGCATCATTTTAATATTGACAGGGTTCCCACATCTTTTTAAACATCATATTCAAGCACTTTTCACAGACTTTCCAGGCCAATTCCCTCAAAATCAAGGGCTTAACATGGCATAGTTCAACACGCAGATCGAGGTTGATTACTGTTTTCACACAGAGAATTTTTATAATGAGAACTGAGAGGCTGTCTAGGAGCTCACAAACAACAATTATAAAGAGCCTATTTACTATTGTTAAGTTTAAAAAAAATCAAAAGAACTTCAGTTTCTATTTTTACCCAAAATATATACAATCAAGCACTTTAAATGACCAATGTCTATTTATATCTAGTTTAAAAAAATGAAACTGCCATGATTTTTACCCCCAAATTCACACACTTCCAGAGACCCATGGGGACCCAAGCCAGCTGTGAAAGAGCTTATTTTACTCATTTTATTTACCTTATAACATGTATTTTATGTTTATTACATGTTTAAATATTCATCTGCAAAATTGTGATGACAGTTGTCAGATATCATGAAATTCAAATACTCAAGTAAAGTACAAGTACCTAAATTTGTACGTGGTAAAATACTTGAGTAAATGTATTTAGTTATTTTCCAACACTGGTCTCCACTTTTACGTTACGCTTGGGTCTCAGGTTACAATGTCTGAAATTAACATTCCTACTCTGAGATAAATACCAGCATCCTTACTACATGTTTCGGAGGCAGTCATGGTCAGAGATGGAGTCGAGGCTGTGTCATGTCTCTGAGGAGCTGAGCGAGCAGACGGAGCTCCAGCACGGTGCACTGCAAAGGGCTCAGCTTGCAGAGCAGCAAGTCCAGGACCTAAGGGAGAGACTGCAAGGTCTGGAGACTGAGCTGCTGACAGCAGACGTGCATCGTGACGGGCTGAGACAAAGCAAACAGCAAGTGAGTAAAGTCATAGTAGCAGGGAGAAATAAGTTACAGTTGCAGCTAAATATGTAGTAAAAGGATTTAAATCAGAGAAGCTTATGGTGACATATATCCATGTTTTGTTAACAGTATGAAGAGTTCCTGGAACAGCTGTCAGAGTCAATGAAGGTTGACAGTATTGCTGTGGATCTGGGCTTCGACATGAGATGTAAACTTATCATGTCACGTGCACAGCAGCTTGTTAAACAAGAGACAGCTGCTTTGGTGGAGAGCAAAAGCCTGACCTACAGCCTACAGCGAAAGGTAGGCTACACAAATACCTCATGCTGGTATGACTGGTATTTAGAATGAAATTACTGTCAGTTTTTATTAGTTTTACATATGACAAAATGGCTTTAAACAACCAATTACAAGCTTCTACAAGTGTGCAGAGTATTATTTGATTATAAAAATGCCCCCTTTTCAGTTGTTGTGGCATGACCAGTGATGAACATGTAACAAAAATATTATTTTTCCCAACAGTTTAAGTCACAGAAAGACCAGCTAGAGAGCAAAGGACTCCACATCCAGCTCCTGAGGAAGAAGGTGTCCGAGCTGGAGGAGGAGAAAAGGAGCCGATCAGCGCTGGCTGTGGAACGAGATGATGCTCATCTGGAGGCCAGGAGGCTGCAGAAGAAACTTGAGCGTCTCCAAGGCGAGCTGAGGGCTGCCAGGCTGTCCAACACTGAGCTCAAGGCCCAGCTGTCCCACACCAATGAGCTCAAGGTAGAGGGGAGACGGGTTCAGGCCCCAAAAATTAAATCCAGAGGCCTTTTCGCCTCATAATTTATTATGTGTTTGTGTTTATATCCGTGTATGTGTGGGTGAAAGGAGTAATGCTTTGTAACTGTGCACTAATTATGTAAAGCAGGTTGGTACTGAAAACAACCGTGTATATATTTTAAGTATCAGAGTATTCAAGAGTGCCTTGATAAAGCCATTGAATAACAGTTGCCTTACTGAACACCTCTGTCTGACGTGCCAAGTTGAAAGTCATGGAACAGAGTCAGACCATGCAGGAGCAGGAAAAGAAGCTGAATAAGCTGGCGGAGGGGAAGACCAAGGTGGAGAAGAAGCTGAACACAGTGAGCTCAGACCTGCAGAGCCAAGAGAAGAAGACCAGAGAGGACCAGCAGCAACTCAACACCCTCAGACAGAGCCTGGCTCAGCTGTCTGACAGGGAGAGAGAGGTGAGGGAAGGATGAGTACGAGAGGTTTTGTGTTTTTCTCGCATGTCTGTACGGTGAATGAAGAATCCAAAAACAGAGAAAATTCTTGATGAACTTAAGATCTAGGTGACCACTTGTAACAAGCAAAACTATATCAAATCATCTGTTTGAAAACTCCCTTACAACTTGGGCAGCATAATCCAAGTCTCATTTATCCAGTCGTATGCTCAGCACTTCCCAAAGAGACAGCCCTTTGCAACTGGGAACTGAGCAAAAAAAATTAACTTTTCTACGCTCTCTTTAAAGTCACTGAACATGGGAGCTACTGGTCTACCACTGCCTCGATCAGTTAGTCTGTGTGACTTTGGTGTTTTAAAATGTTAATTCGGATTCACCAAAGTCATCGAGGTAGACCAGCAGCTCCCGTGTTCAGCAAGGTAAAATTACTGTTTTTGTCAGTGGAGTCTGGCTTTAGGGAGAGCATCGCTAAGTTTTAGTTGTAGTTCAGTTCCACGCTGGAAAGGGCTGTCTGTTTGGGAAGCATCGACTACACAGTTGGATAAATGAGAGTGAGGTGACGGGATAAGATGGCACGTCAGACGCCAAAACGGCTCAGTGGAGACAAGTCTTACTGTAACACTTTGGTAACATTTTATTGGAAAATGCGGGGATGTCTAGATCTGAGAGCAATACCAGAAACTGCAAGAAGGAAAAACGCACGAAACTTTGGCTCAGCTTGCAGCATGGTGACATACACCCTTAACACTGCCTTGTCCTCCGAGCAACAACCTGGAGACAATGAGGATAATCCAACAGACACCCCAAAATGGACCAGAAACATCACATCGCAGCTCAAGCAAATAAAAGAAGACTTTGGTACTGAAATGCACGGCATGGCTGAGTCAATTAACTGCCTCAACAAAGACACCAGAGCTATGCTGAACAGATAAAGCGACGTGGAGACCCAAATTGGGAAGCTGGAGGATAAATGAGCCTTGGATTATACTGCATGAGTTCTGTATAAGTTTGTTAACACATATTCTGATTGGGAATGTTGGTTTCTTTTAATTCTGCTTTCAGCAGGTCGATACCCATTAACCAGAAACTAACTCGTTAATTTTCAAGAAAAGAGAGGCCTCTCCTTTTAGTCAGGTGCTCCACTGACTCAGTGAGTTTTAGCACTTTTCAAAGTGCTTTCCATTTAGAAGTGGTGAAATTTTAATGTCTTGTGATGTAAATGTCTTTCTTTTAGTTTATTAGGGTCCAGGCAGCTAAGCTGCCAGGACACTATTGTAATCCTAGTTCTTCTTCTTCTTCTTCCGAGGAAATCCTACTTCCCATGGGTGAAAACTCACCAAACTTTGCACAAAGGTCCAGTCTCATGCCAGATATCCTCAGCTGTAAACTCAAGCCAGTAGTCCTGATGGTGGCGCTACAGCAAGCGTCTAAAGTTCGAAACTTTGAAAATTCATAACAAATCAACCATACGTGCTACAACTTCACAACTTTCATCAAACTGTAGCTCCAATACTGAAGAAACTTTTATACACTTAAACCTATTAAAAATTATGAAGTTCATCACTCTGTTTTTTTCAAAAACTGTAAAACTTCTTAAACCTATCTCCTCCCACAATTTTTGCTCAATTGACACCAAACTTGCTACAGAGCATCTTCAGACTGTCCTACACAAACTGTTTCTCCAATTTTTGATTTATCAAAAATTGAGCCTACAGTGCATCAAAATGTTTGACTGTAAACGGTACTGTAAACATATACATACAAATTCTTGCTAAATAAATCTTCAATGTTCATGAAAAAAATGACAAAATTCTAGAGTCATGGTAGATGATGTGTGGCAAATTTCAGAATTTTATCTCAAAAACTGAATTTTTGACAGCATTTTGAAGTTTGCTCTAATGTGAACAATTGGAGTCAATGTAAAAATGGCAATTTTAAACATCAGTTTTTCACTTATGGAGCAAATCAATCATTGTTACAAACAAATTAGATGCAATATGTGTATTTTCATATTTTTGTCTTAATAACTGATTTTTTTTTTTTACAGTGGTTTCAAATCTGCCTTTCCATGCATGGATGGCTGCGTTCCTACGCACTAGTGAATGGCTTACTCAATTTGTGAAGCCACTGTTGAGTTGCTACTTGCCAATTAGCTCAGAGTGGTAGATGACGGTCTTAGGTTCCAGAGGTTGCGGATTCAAGCCTCAACTGATGCAGAATCTACATTGTAATGTAAACATCTTCTTGTGCTGTAGCTTATTACTTAAAATTGCCTGAGCGTGACTGATCACTGTGCAGCATCTTCAAGTCTTTTTTTCTGCTAGAAAATCTGCCTTCTCATGCTTGAAAATAAACCAAACTTTGCACAAAGATCCAGTGTCAATGCTTCAGTGTGAAACCATCTGAGGCTTCTCACTTTGCACATAGCTCAACTAGTTAAACATCAGTAGTATTTCACTTATGAAGCAAATCAATCATTGTTAAAATAAATTCCATGCATGGACGGCTGCACGTCTGGCTTAGTCAATTTGTGAAGCTACACATGAATTGTCACTGACTAATTAGCTCAATGAGATAGAAATTGATTCTTAATCTCAGAGGTTGAGTTCAAGCCTCAGCTGATGCAAAAGGCAGACTGTGTTGCTAAATTCCTACGTCTTCCAATTCTTCTGCTTGTTGCTCAGAATTGCTTAAAAATGCCCGGACCCGACCCATCGCTGCGCAGCAGCTATAATTCCCTGTTGGTTTTGCTAAGAGACAGGCGGCTAGCTGCGTTATCATGTGGAATCACAGTGCCCACTCCCCACCCAACAGTCTCCACTGGTTATCTAGCTTGAGCTTTGGCTGCACTCCACTGTGCACAGCCCAGGTCAAGTGGGACCTAGCTAGCGGTGCCACTCATGTGGCGTTTAGCACCGGTAACACCATACCACCACTTGGTAGTCGTTGCTGTGGAAACATGATATCCACTCTCCAGTCTCCTCCCATGTCGACCTGTTAAGTAAGCGCCTTCATTTTGAGCCGCAAAACTCCTTTAGCATTGTTATCTATGTTAGCACTACTAGCTATGCTGACACCACTAACTATGCTAACAGTGATAGGCTAACATAGGAAACAATGCTACAGTGGATTTGTTAAAAATTGAGCTACTTACTCACTGGAGCAACATTGAGGGTGGGCATAATGTTTTCAACAGTGCTGTTGGGTCAGGACAGCGTTAGTAGCAGTAATCCTGAATGAGCTGTGCCGCTAGCTAACATTACCTTGCCAAACCTGAGTGGTGCGCAGTGCAGTAAACAGAAGAGCAGCAAAACTAACCTGTAGATTGACATGCATAACCAATCAAAAATATTTCTCAGTGGTTACCAATTAACAGGAAACCATTGACATCCCTAGAATTGGTATAATTTTGCTTATGTTAAAGGTGGACCCTCATAAATTCAATTCATCAAGAATTTTCTCTGTTTTTGGATACATTTTTTCACAAATTCAGCATAGCATGGGGTAAATAATTGATATACAAAAGGTCATCTGGGTGGTGAAGTGTTTCTTTAAATGACAGATTATGCCTTTAAAATCAAACTGATATATTCTTTGTCCTCTGTTGTTCAGTTGGTGGATTTCCGGATGGTTGTTTCCCAGATGTTGGGTCTGGATGCCACAGCCCCGGCTCTTTCAAATTATGACATCATCAAATTACTGGAGACCATTCTTCACAGTCATCATCACCATCACCACCTTCATCATCATGTTAACATGCCCTGGCACTGTCCTACTCACCAGAGGTCTCATCTTCCCCAAATCCAGGACCTTCGTGACAGCTCATCCTTCGATCTTTCTACCTCTAGGTCTGCAGCTCCCCTTCATGAAGCATAGATTTATACATCATACTTTTGCCAAACTGCACTTAGAATGTAAACGTATTATTGTTGTCTAAAAGTATATGAAAACAGACCTTTTACAGAGTCAAATAATGTATCCATGTTTTCCTATTTGTGTTTTCAGGAGAAGCTCAGTATAAATATGATTCGTTGCACAAATAAATGTAAATTCACATTTAAAAAATCAAATGAAAAGACAAATATCGACAGGATGAGGATTTGGCATTCATTGTTTTTGATGGTCGCATATACATATATTTCTCATATTACCTTTTACTATTATATACACATGTTAAATAGTCCTGGACTGTTATACATTTGATACTGAACTGACGGTCATACAAAATATACAATAGTTCTATATGTCATACTTCTCAATCATAAAGTCATATTTTATATCTTGTTTAAAAAATAAAACAGCAAAATGTATAAAGACCATGGGTGACTGATGTCGAAGGTTAAACTCTTGAAATGTTTCTGGCTTTGATATTAAAAACACACGACTTGGCTTAAATGAATCTCACATGAATCGAAGTAATTCAAGTTAAAAATGGACCGTTTCCCACAGACACAATGAGGGATGTCAGTAAATAAAAGCAAAGAACTGCATGCCAAAATACAGGTAAAAAAATAATTGCAATGTAAGATATATTAAATGTTTTTTTGTTTTGATTTTTACAAATGAGTTACAAGCAAATTCACAGGCTATATTTCAGCATTTAACTTTGGTGCTATCCACTGACAGATCTCTCCAGAGAAATACAACATGTATATGACGCTGAGTTGATCTTCAGTTCGTTCATCCAGCAACGTCCACTGTGGGCAAAAACAGTATTTTCACTTTTGTTGCACCAAAGATGCTCCTTAATCGACACAGCATTACACAGAGTAACATAGTGAGATGCTAGTGCTACACATGAAGATATTAATTGTAGATGGCAGCGTTTTTCTGCAGAACAAATAGATGACCAAGATCAGTTTTTGCTCCTGACATAGTCGACCTCTCAAAGGATGTCAACGTGATACCACTTCTAGTCATACTGATGTAGGAATACTGAGATCAAATGCTCTTACAGCCGGCCTACACAGGAGGTGGTCCGTTAGTGTAGCTGAGCATCGGGTAGAAGGAATGAGCAAAGTTGTTGGACTGAGCGCAGTAGTCCTCCTCGGTCATTGGCAGCAGGAAGGCAAAGACCACTAACAGGAGCAGGAAGAGCTGGAGAGGCAGCGCGACCCAGAGGACGCGCCACAGGAACGAGGACCTATGACCTGAAGGTGCCTCCGAATCAGAAGGGAAGGAAACGGATCCAGCGTCGTGAGACCTGCTCACACACACACAAGCATTCACAACACAGCACAGACTGACATTTAGTGACCCACATCGATTGATAACTACATACAAACTCCTATCTGTCATCTGAATCCCTACTTCCAGACTTGTGTAAACACATTATGGCAACCTTAAATGTATTTTTCCTGTCTGTGCACAAAAATAAACTCAGCAAAAATAACTGACTAATTAAATTAGTCTAATTCAATAAATAAGCTTCACTTTAACTGCTCTGTAATCTAATATCCTCCTCTCCATAGACTTCATTGTTAAGGTGTCGTCTACTGATTTTCAATCCAAATAAGAACTCAGTTCAGCGACAGAGGAACTGTGTGACAGTGCTCGACACAAGCACCATGCTGTGTTTGAAAGACATCGCCAACATGGTTCGAAGCAATGTTGGGACAATGTTTCACATTGTGATCTACATGCTGACTGAGACTGGGTGGATAAACACAGTTACAAAGACAGTCACAAAAGCATTCATACTGTACAGTCCTGCACCAAACAAATACATTTAATACGTGAGCTTGCATTCCTTCGAAAAGGATGTTAGGATAAAAGACAAAAGGCATGCTGCAAGTATCAGCTGGGTAATTAGATACTTATTTAAAAGGACTTTTTGAAGTTTTGTCCTGTTGAAAAATGCAAAGCATGCCGAGGCAAGAAGAGCATAGCAATTAGAAAAAGGTTCTTTGACAAGGTAGTTTGGCTAAGCTATATTTAAAGGCTAAGTTCGGTGTTTTTAAACATGTAATAGTAGTAATAGGAACAACAATTTTTTTAATTGGTCCAGTATTGAGCCAGAACAGGCTGCACTGTAACCACTAATGTAATCTACGCTCACTAACAGTGCTTGCTTTTGCCACTGGCAGGCTCAGATTGTTTTGTAAGTGTCTAACAACATTATGGAAAGGATCCCTACAGAGACGGACCTTTTTGTGCAGGAGTAAGATCGTTTTAGTTTAACCACAAACAGCCCCAAAATCACCAAAGCCACCAAACTCCATTTAAATAAACATCAATTTTAACATCTGTAGTGGCAGCATATTTTCATATCTAACTAAGTGAATTAAGGGTTTATTTCAACCAAACCAGAGTTGGCGACTGCTGGAACAGTGGTAAGACGAGCCAAGACCGTTTTTGTGGGCTTTAATTCGTTTCAGTCACATTTAAAAGACGTGCGTTTTAGAATGATAAAATTATTGTTTATTTGAATGAAGTCTGGTGGGTTTGCTGACAGTGATTTTGGATTTTCTGTTTCTGGTTAAACAAAAAGGACCGTACTCCTTAATGAAAAGGTCGACCTCTGCAGGAATCCTCTCCATAATGTCGCCAGACACTTATAATAATGATCTAAGCCTATTAGTGACAAAAACAAGCACTGTCAGTGAGTGTAAATTGACAGTGCGAACATGTTTAAGTGGTTAAATTGCAGTCTTCCGTCGCTGTTGTCTGCAGCAGTCTCACTCAATAGTGGATTAATTTCAAAAACTGTTCCCATTAGTGACTCAGACACAAAAACATGGGAAAATAGGGTCCAGGTGAAGAATGCCAAACTCAACCTTTACAGGAATAGTTAGGGAAGTTTATTAATTTGCTTTCTTGCTGTATCATTAACAGTCACCATCACCCTCAGTAAAAACTGTACTCTTTCAGGTTAGACGCCACAATCACTTAATGGAAATTACTGTAAAGAAGCTTACTCACACCTACCAACTGTGGAAAAAAACCCCAATTGATTTATTTCTTTAAGTTAAGAGAAAACAGTCCTGCTGTACTCTCTAAATGTACTTCATTAAAGTGAATCCTGACTCCAGGAATGCATGGATTGATGTATGATTTACACTCTGGTTGTCCTATGCTGTTAACAAAAGTGCCCCTTACCACTTCACATATGGATACCTGAGACTCACAGATGACAGACTGAGGGGGGGGAGATGGCGGATAGTTGGTGAGATAGCAGCAGCAGAAGAAGAAATGTCACACACATAAGAAAGAGATAGAGCAAGAGAGAAAGAGAAACTGCAGCCTTTGCATTGTTCATTGCAGACATTTACTGGCTCGGCAATTTGAGAAAAAAGGTGTGTGTGTTCAGTAACAGCGAAGGAGTGTTAGCTACAAAGGAATATTTGTGTTATACGTAAGAAAAATGCCCTCCGGTTAGCGATATTAAGCAGCCAAGGACATTGGCGGAGAAGAGGCCTTGCACCATCCCTTGTGAAACTCTTTTATCGAGGATGTGTGGGCTGCATTGCACCTCGTCACCGAGCCTACACAGAGCGTCTAGACTGACAGAAGATGATGGAATTCACTATCATGAGCTGCTAATCTGGCACAAGCGTTAGAAACTAAAATTGGGGTTTGTTATTCTTTAAAGACACAGCTGTTGTTGGGGGAGGATTAGAAAGCATGAATCGGCCTCCAAGTGCATCATGGGCTGATGAGTTCCATTATCTTCTGGGTGTGCTAGAAACCAACAGAAAGGTACCTGTGGTGTGGACTGCTCACAGAGGGTCCAGGCTGTGACAGACTACTTTTGCCCCGTTGCTGTTTGCAATGAACAGGGGGAGGGGGAGGTAAAAGAAAGAAAGTATGTTTCAGTCCAGGCAAATCAAGACAAAGCTACCGATGAAAAGAAATCCCAAAATGAAAGAAGAGCAGCAACAAAATCATATGTGAGGGTAGATTTTGTAACCCGTGATAACAAGGAATCTGGCTTTTCAAAGTGCTCGACTACTTTGAAGTGCTTCAGCTCGTGAGTGCAACAAACTGACTGCAAATAGGAAGCTACAAATTATGCAGTGTGATGCATGGGTCTCTTTGATAACAGTGACATTTAATAACATACACATAATATAAGCAGCGACATGCTTATTTGGACTGATATTTAGATACATACTGAATCAAAACTGATGCAAAAAATATTGCTTTCTCATTCCTGCAGCCTACAATATAAAACAAATATGATGTCATGCCTCCTACATCATAAAATCACAGTTTCTATGCTTCTTTTGTACATTTAGCAGTTTCATGATAGCCAGTATTCCTAAGAATAAAACTACAAGGATCCAATAAAACTAGAGTGAGAAGAAAGTAAAGGAAAGTCTACTGGGAAAAAAAGATTTGTAGGATAGAAGTTTTTTAGTGTGGAAATACTGGAAGAGAAAAAGTGACAGCTAGGGCAGAACTGAAAAAGTCATCCAAGAGAAAGGAGGAGGAAATAAAGATGTTAGAAAGAAAGGATTCCCCAGTTCTCTGGCAGGTATTTGCTCTGGGAGTACACAACATGCAAGAAGAGTAAAAGGCTGGAAAATAGTTCAGAATTCAGAGGGTGGGAGTGTAAAGCAGGTTGTGGAGGTGTAGAAAGGTGTGAGGAGAGATTTTGGGATGGCAGGGGTGAATATGGCCTTCAACAGGGCATTTGGGGCACAAGTTGCTGTATGCACTGTCTCAGAGGGGTAACCAAACACCTGGCCTCTCACAGAGCAGCATGTACAGGTAGACGTGTACGTTACCGATCGTCGTCGACTTGGTGTACTCCTTCCTGATACAGGACTAAGGGACCCGGACGTGTCCAGGTCATCAGCTGATGACCAAGATGACAGATCCTGGCAAAGGAAACATTTATACAAAGAGAGGAAAGAAAGAGAGGCACATGAAATATCAGGCAGTGGAAGGCAATAGCAGCCTGTGGATCAAATCCGTCCCTTCAGCAAAAATATCAGGCCCCCTGACCAAAGTGAAAGTCTTCTGTTTCAAAT